GCGTGGTGTTATTTTATTGTTTCATCTGTCTCAACTTCTTCACGCTTAGGGCTTTTTCTCCATATCGAAAGAAAAAAAACAGACGGTTAGCTGTCCAAGAAACTTAGAGCGCCAACGTTAGCTATACATCTGCTTAAAATCAATAGAGCTTCTGTTTAGTTCCCTCAAAGGTAGATCCTAAATAAGATTGCGAAAACCACCGAAATGCGTTCTTAGAGAAACAGAATAATAATTTACAACCAGAGCTTAACAGTGCTGTTAAGACCGACATCTAATAACAATTCACGAGGGAAACATTTCGACCTTCGCCTGACGAAGACCAGCTGTATAGCAGTCGAAACGTTGCGATCAGTTTGCCTGCCTCTTACATCGTGAGACAAACAATTAAACGTTCATTTGGCAATGAAACCATGATTAACAACAACATTTTCAACATGAAGTATGTACTCAGTAAGGACTTCATAGTTGCCGAAGCGTGACTGAAAAGAAGTCGAAACCACGTGCGCCGTATTGGACAAGTTATATGATCTCTCGCTACGCAAATGTAGGTGGCTTTCCTCTTGAAATCTCAACTGTAATAATAACTCTTCTTCTTCGCATTAAGATCTCTTGCAGATAAGGCTTCCTTGTATGGCAGCGCGGATGATTTAATTCGAGGAAGACAGTGAAGCACTCACAGTTTTTTGCAGAAAGGTTGGAGCCCTCCGAGGACGCTCTAACACCCACAACTTGACACAAATCAAACGATGTGTTACATCACGTTTGCACGCAAACACCAATCTAAGCCCCACAGAAAATAGAGAGTAGAGTAAAGTTCGATTATTTGAGGCCAAGATAAGGTAAACCTAAGCCAGGACATCCCTCAGTGCGCTTGCAAGACAACGGTGAGCGAAGGAATCATATCTAACATTATGAAGGCTAACACAGTTAGTCATGGTAAAAATATAGTGTCACATGCATCGGAAAGTCTGAGTTGTTCGGCATTGACTAGATTTGCCGTGGTTCACGAGTGATGGAATTCACATTACTGTATGATGCAAAATGCATAAATTTATCTCTTTGAATGATCTGCGGTTTACAGTATTCGGGATTGAGGAGATTGCCATATCCGACGTCTATTGTCTGGAGAGAATAAAGAATTTTATCTTTTTTTGGAGCACACGTTTTCAGGAAATTCCTTTCAGCTAAAAGAGACATGTCGCTGACAAATTATGGGCAACAAATTAGCGGCAAATTAGAGTGGACTGTAATCGTGTTTTTGTTTGATTTTATCACTGAATATTTTCTTGGTAGATTAACGACTGACATGTACTCATTGTTTTCGTTTCGTGCAGTAAGCCTAATTCGTAAGAGTATTAAAGTATTAGGCGAGCACAAAGCGAGACCGGTACATGGAGGACTGGGCCACGGCATCAAAAGATATCGATTACAGTGACCATATACTGTACATTAGTTGGAATTGGAAAAGCAGTGAATTATGGAAAAGATAATGTTATGTGCCGTCAAGAACTTTGGGTCTTTTGTGAATGCCTTGTTAATTTTAAGGTCTTTTACATCAAGTTTGTTTGGTTAATCGACACAGAGATTAGATCAGACTCGTTAAGCCAAATTACCAGCTGCTTTGAAATGCTAGTTGTAAAACACTGATAATACTGATAACGTACGTATTAATTCTAAAAACAGTTTTGAATCGGCTCCCTTCGAGCAGAATACCCTCGATATTATAAAACAGAGTGAAAATAAGCCTAAAATGTCATTATCAAACCCAAAGTAAACACTATATTTTCTAGTTGAGAGATATTAGAAAGAATTTGATACATTTTCCTACTTGCTATCTGATCCGAGCTTCTGCACTTGTTGGTTTTAAATCACAATAAGTTAGGAAATTGCTTTACACTTAACGGCATGCAATCGGCCGGAACCAGCAAAACCTTTTCAAAATACACGCTGACATCCCAAAGTGCCGAGTATTCAAAGTACGATGATGGCGAAACGAAGCGACAAACATTGAAGCTTTCGCCGTCTATTTTCAGCTGTTCGCACACTTGAGCGCCTGAAATATTTCCATTTTCTAGGAATAGAGATCTCCAGTTCCTATTTTTCATCAGGCTTGAGAAAGTTATGAGAATAAACGTTGGTTGTATGACTTATACCAGAGTTCATTTTTGCTGTTTGACCTGCCATGGCCGGGAAAGTGATTTTTCCGATTCACGAATGAGTTGAATTACACACTGTAGGTGTGGAATTGAACAATGTCTCTTCCTTAACCTTTTGTCCTTGCTCTTCAGACGTACGCTTTTGAGCTTTTGTTGCGTGAGATGTCAAAACTTTAACACTTACCTTAGTACGTGAAAATATTGCAACTATCCTTCACTCAGTTTGTTTTCAAAAGCAATCCGGCGGTCGGTGAAAGTTTCCAGTCCAAACCGAGGAGGTGCTTGAGCAGATTACCACTGAAGCAACAAAAATACAGCATTAGTTAATGCGAAAATAAGAGATTTTGTTTGTGAAGTATTATGTTACTCGAGATTACGATGAGAGGTTATGTAAACAGGCGAAGACAGTTGAAGAATAACAGGAAGGACGCACTCACATAAAGTAGCGGGAAACACGGCGTGTGGCAACCGCGAGTGAAAAAGGCGGGAAAATTATCGCGTTGGAAGGGTCTTAGAACATCACGTAATATTGAAGACATTCCCATATTGGGAAATTTCAGTCTATAATTGATCATTTAAAGAAATACAACAAACAGGATTCTTTTATTGCAGACAGTCATCAGACAGACAAACTTTGACGGGTTTATTATCCTGACATCATAGCGTACGGCTAGCGTCTCTTTTTTGTCGATTTGGCGCCCAGCATTGGACTTTGGCCAGTAGGTTTGAACACCCGATTGAAGCAGATTGAATAAAACGCAGTTGCGAAGCTTTTAAATAATGAGCGGAGACATCTTCCTTTCAATTTCAAAACCAGAAAAAGTCTGTATGGGACCTCTTAGTAACTTGTTATAGGTGGCCTAAAAAGTCGAAGAGGAAAGCTTAAGTATCGGTATAACCCGAGAAATCCGTTTGCTACTTTGTTAAAATACTGAAATAAGGTTCAGTGTAATATAGATTCTTCAGCGACACGACGCAAAGCCTAGTTGAGCGAGTATCGTGACTGGCAATTGCTACCGCTACAACAGCCGAATCATATTTTTTCCAGGAATATCTACGCGACACGAGGCAATGCACGAGGCAAGCATACTTACATCTTTGCATAAAAATATCTGCCGCTTAATTACTGTGCTACTTACGTTGAACATGCGCTAAGAGAGCATTTTCTAGTTTCCTGCAGTGTTTCTTGATTGTTTCGTTCCTCAACCCTGGACACACCAGCCTATACCTAATGTAATCAGTTGGGAGTAATTGATAGCAATCAGAAAATTATCGAGAATTAACCGAAAGTAACTTTAATTATTGATTACAAACATATTATTACGCAGTTGAAAGAATAAAACAAACAATGATTAAACAAGACTTACACAAAGAGTGGATTTTTGTGCATCCCCAAGGAGCCCAATTCACTTTGTTTCCGGAGCCAACAACAAGACCTAGATGGTGACAAATTTAAATGATGAACAAAGTAAGTGGTTTCTATGGTGATCTTTCTTGCGTCATTTGGCAGCCGTAATTGTGAGGATGGCTCGGTATACAGGTCAAGTTTAATTTGTCTTCGTTTTCCAAGTGAGCCATGCTAAATACCGAAGCAAAAAGCGCTCGTTTGCTAGCTTTATTTGTTCGGTTGTAACTGGGTAACCGGAGCTACATGAATGTAGAACTCAAATACAAATAAAGACAATCAAAGATTGCATGTGGCTACTGGTATAGGGCAGTTTTTATAACATCAAAAAGAACTAGAGGTTGTATAATGACGCTAGTAGGAAGTGATGTAGAATACTTGTATCCCATGCAAGACAGAAAAGCTGCCGCATCCTACATAATTATTAGTGATTACCAATGCTTCTTTTAACTTCGCCTGTTAATTATAAGTAATTCCCTTTATTGCAATTCCATTTTTGAGACTTTTGCTTCATACGAAAAGGTATTCTACGTTTTAGGATATTCCTTCATTCCGCGCCTTAAGATATTCAGGCCTTCTAGCGATCCACTGTTTCTCCGTTCCATCATTCAGTTCAATATCTCAAGGTATCGTATTCTGCAGCTGGCTCGATTCGCAAATTTAGCGGCTTGTACCGGCATAAGTCGCTGATTCAAACGGTAAAATACTCTTTTCCAAAGAGAAAAAAATTTTCTCAAAGCTTCCAGGATGTGCAGATCATATCTATTGAGATTTTTCTGCTAGGAAAAGTTATGATTTAAATCATGCGTCGGTGGACCTCACTGTAAAATTGTTTTGAGATGTTTATCGTCTTTTGTAGTTGCACGGCAAGAACTGAAAAGATTATATCATCGGATCTACATGATTGCCGATTTAAACGATAAAATGATGTCTTTTCAAAGAAAAAAAAAATTGTTTCATGATGCACCGATCACACCTTTTAAGATGTTTCTGCAAGGAAACCTTTTGCTCTTAATAGCGCGCAATCCTGAAATGATTGTGAGATGTGTATCGTCTTCTGATGTCTTCCGTAGTGTCACGGCAACAACTGAAAACACAATAGGCTAGTAGCCATGAGCCAGAAATCACAAAAGGAGAGAATTCAACTGTGTATCGAGTGCCAATGTCACCTTCTATGATACTCTGCAAAAAATCATTAAGTAGCACCGGGCAATTGGGTCAAGGTTAGAATTCTATTGTTACGCATACCCGAGATCGGAATTTTATTATTGCACCCACTCACTCATTCTGCTCCCCCTAGGAGGCAGAAGCCATAAAAATAAAAGAAAAATAACCAAAAATAAGTAAAATAAGCACCGCCTTGCAGATTTTCCTTTCTCGGGAAGATGGGTTTTTATGAAATCGAGGCTACTATTCCCAGATCTCCACCAAACTAAAGCATGCTTCAAGGAAAGATGGCAGATGGGATAGCGGTGAATTTCTAGAGATTCGAGTTAACTCTCTGGCGCATATCTACCATACTCATGCATTTCCTTCAAGTGTGCTAATTCAAGAGGCACAAGTCAGACCAGGTATGTTCATGAAGTGAAACAGCATGTATCAAAAGGCGTTTTTTAAGCATGCAGACTACGTGACAATTTACCCTTGACGTGCGCGTTTGCTTTTAGCAACCGGTTCCTGTAGTGATGTATCAGTTCGCAAAGTATTGCACAACTCGATGAAATCTACTACATAACTACAGATTCATTCATAGCCCCGTGTATCATTTTCAAAACGACCAGAAATTCTGGGAGTTACGTCTGCATGGTTTTAGTTTTGCCACGTAGTGGATCAGCTGATACATGCATTTCCATGTTCGTGGATTGTGTGACGATTGCATGAGAAAATTATGGTTTTCTTGTGCAAGTTCTAACGCATTAAAACCAAAATTAAGAAGACACCTGTGAGAATATTGCGTCGCTAGGTCTTCTGTTGCTAAGAGGAACTCAGAGTCCTGCGTTTAGTAATTGGGCATTGTATTTATCCACTGTGAGAAGAATTAACGCTAAGACTTGATGGTCTTTAGAGATTATAGAAGACCCTCGTTACTTCAATTATTTTCTAAATTTTGTTACTTTATGTTACTATACTGTGTAAGTTTTGGTATTCTTTTAATCTGTGATAGGTAGGAAACTTTCCAAGAAAGGTTAGGAAAATGGTTAAACAACTTTTATTTCTAAGGAATCACCTGAATTGGTACCATACCAGCAGAGTGTCAATAAAACCTCTTAATTTTTTTGGGTTTAAACCAATCATGACCAACTTGTGCCACTTTAGTCCCACAGCCAATATTACATCACAGCAAAAATGAATTGGACCTAGAACACTTGCTAGACAGAAACTGTTCACTTGACTCTGATGATAACTCCTGCTCAGGTTGTCAAAATATCAATCACCACTACCGACAACAGTCCTTCTCAGGACTACACTCACCTGGACGATCAGACTGTAATATCATATATTACCTCTGGGTTCAAACCACTTATTGATCTTGCTATGTTAAATGAAAAAAACTTTCTCTTTCCCTCAATTAGGGCTTTTATGAATAATTTAGTATCAAGAGTGATGTTAAGTAACAGGAGAATGTTCTCTGTCTGACTACAAAATGACACAAGCCAACAAAATTTGGCTGCAGAATTCTGAGAAGTAGAGGATAACTCTCTGATCTCTTTTATCAGGCTATTAATGTTGGTGCTCATCACTTTTGGGTTCATAGCTGTGTAGACTACTCTTCACACTGGTTTGGATCAGTGTTATAATAGGAAGGTATACTTAACATGATAAAAGCACCTAGAAGGTATACACAGGACTATATTGACCTGCTCGAGGGATTGGTTTGTCAAAGGTAACATGTAAAGTAAGTTAAAAATATTTTTCTTTCTTCTTTTTGGAAGGTGTATTCTCAGCATAGTTTTTTGATCCTCTAAAAATGGCCACCACCCTGGATATTGAAATATTTAAGGTTTGTATCATCATATATACATTCATGTATTGAATGCTTTAAATATCTTTAAGAGAGGTTAGCTGCTTAACCCTTTAACACCCAAATCAAATTTGTTATTCTCCTTACTGTCAATCATACAATTCTTACAATGTTATTTCAAAGAATTTAGTATTGTATCAACTAATTATCCCCAAATTAGTATTTTTCTTTATTCTTATCACATATCTGGTTGTTATTGTATTGGTATTGTAAGGAGAAATTCTGTCTTGGTCACTCATGGGAGTTAAAGAGTTAAAGAGGTTTATGTGATAGCTGACTGGAGCTAAAAATGTATGTGCCTGTTCAGATTACTTGCTGGTCTTGTTCTCAAATACAGCTGTACCAGACCTCTATATTTTAAAAAAAGAAAACATTTTATTTCATTTTCCTCTGTGTGGTAACTTAATTGAAGAACCAATTCAGATATCATGGTGCCTGTGATAACTGTGCCTTGTAGAGCAACCATGACTGAAATGATATTTGAAAGACTGAAAAATTCTACAGTGTGTGAATACTATGGTTCATTCTTTTAATGGTTTAAAAGTTTTCAAACCATTGTGATTTTTATGATAAGGGATGCAAGGCTGGAATATCAAACTTGTTTGAGAAATTCAAAACCAACAAAAAATAGCTATGGTAAGAAGAGTTCATTGCAGGTAAATTTCAGGTAAAGAGATTTTGAAAACAGCATGCTTAACAAAATTTAGGGTTTGATTGGGTTGTAAACCATTCCTCTATGAGAGTAGTTGGGAGCCTCTACCAACTGATGTACCAAGCCACAAGTTGTGAGCATCATGGAAATTTGATCTTTTGTAACACAGGTAATCAACGCAGGGAATTTCTGGGCTCACCCTGTTGCTGGTTCTAGCAGCGAATTCCAAGACTTTATGGGAAAACTGAATGATCATTTTAGAAAGGATACAAACTCACAAGCTAATAATCAGGTGGAGAAGGGTCAGGTAAGTGTGTATAAATTGATGTATTATTCATTGATGGCTGTCATGTAAGTTACGGTATAATCTGAAAAACATGTCCCTCTTTTATATGTTGCAAATAATGAATGCTTAAATTGGTTACATGTACAATGGATGTAGTTCAATGTAAAATTTCCCTAAGGTATCCTCTGAAGATTTTAGGTTAATTGATAAACTAAACATCTTGGGTCTTGAATTTTATGAAAAATTAGCTTGGTTTGTCTGTTGAGATGATTATAAATCTGAAATTCAAAGACAACATTGAAGAACACTCTGAACTATTAAAAATGTTCTGATTAATGTTTCTCAGTCCAAGATGTAGAGAATGATTATGCTGAGATTTTGGTCATTTTGTGAATCATACTGTAAGTGTAGTGACTTGAGATGTCTTGAAAGGATTTCAAAATGTACTTAACTTACGCTCATGCAAGTGCAATAAATTTCAAAACATCTGCCATAATGATTATATTTCCACAAATCTCATGCCTTGTGAATTATGTTTCTGAACCTATTTTTTGATGTACAGAATGTTGATGTCTTTCAGCTGGTAAACACTTCGTAAATGTGCTCAGTTTGTCTTTCTTGCTCAAATTGTCATTGGTAGAAGAGTTGTAAACTACTCTCTCTTGCTGTTCATGTCACATTGCAGATGTGTGTGGTAAGACGGACCTCAGATAACTGCTGGTATAGGGCAAGAGTTCAAACTGTATTACAAACACTGACTGGACCGCAAGCAAGGTAAATTGTTATTTAACCCTTTAACTCAGAAGAGTGACTAGCATCTAATATTACCCCTGAATCACACATTTAAGTCACAAAAATAAAGAAAATGATCGCCAGCCAAAGAAGCTATTGATTGTTAAAAAAATTCTCCTTGTCAACACTTTAGGAAATTTATAAAACACTGTAGGGAGAATATGTAAACTGATGTTTGGGTGTAAGGGGTTGATGATTATTGGACGAGCTTAGGCTTGATGGTGAGAATTATCAAGGCAGAGGTTTGTGTTATCTGCCAAGGCTTACAGTTGAACTCAACCTAAACCTCAAATGAAAAGGTGGAAACTGTGAAATGTTGTGTTGGAAAAGTGAGTGTTTTCCTTGTATTTTATTTGACTATGTCCCATAAAAAATTAGAGTGCTATGATTTTTGTTATCACAGTGTTTTTCTTGTGGATATGGCAGAGAGTACCTTGGTTCCTTGTTGCAGGTAAGAAAGGTTATTGAAAAGAATACAATTCAATTATGGGATTCTCATTTTTATGAAGAATTGTTTCTGTTATTCATTCACTCTTAAAACTAGCTCTATTTTCTCCTCTGTCATTTATTTGTCACTAATTTCTAACTTTAAACTGTGGTTTTGTTGTATGCTAGAGGGATATGAATACCCTGTAGTTTCCTCATAATTTATAGCAGTGCGTGTAGGCTTCAAATTGTCATATTTAAAAATAAAGCTGTTCAAAATGCTATTTAGTTTTTGCATCCATGGTTTCAAGAGATGTTCTGTCAATGATTACATTGTTCACTTCTGCAGGATTAGGGAAATACCAGAGCTATTTCAGAACATCCCATTTCAGGCCATGGAATGTTTGTTAGTTGGTGTTCAACCACTTGGTCTTGTTACATCCTACTTTGATCTGACTACCTCGAAACAGTATGTTGCTAGTGAAAATTGTTGTTACATTTATTTAACTCTGTAACTCCCTTGAGTGACCAAAACAGAATTTCTCCTTACAATGTCAATACAATATCAAGCTGACAAGCTATGAGAATAAAGAACAATATCAATTAGGGGATTATTAGTTGATCCAGTACCAAATTCTCTGAACTAACATCACAAGAATTATATGGCAGATAGTAAGGAGAATTACGAATGAGATCTTAGTAGTTAAGGGTTAACTGAGATTCTCTCTATATTTATTTATCAACAATGTTGAACAAGCCTGGCTTGGTTCAGCTGCAAGCAGGCATGAACTGGGGACTGCACTGAAGTTATACTATCTGTAAAGAGATTGGAAAACTTCTTTCTATGAGATTTTGTCTATTTCCAACAGTAACATTAAACAATTGATATGTTCCAAGACCAAGGCATTACAAAAGGTGCAGCAATAATGAAAGACACTGCGGTAACTGTCAGTGACTTGTAAACATTTTGCTCAAACTGTGGTCATTTGCAATATGCATATACTGTAAATGTACTGATACTGATTTGAAAGCCTGTAACAATTGAAAGTCTTGGAATCAAGGTAGCTGGATAGATGCTATTCTGAATGCATCAGATAGGAAAGGGCAAGACCTCTGGGGAAAATGGAACACCAAAAGGTGTTTAAATTTTTTTTACTGATTTACCAGCCATTTGTATGATGATAGAGCTTGGTTGGTGTTGTTGTGCTATAATTTGCAGTATCTTTTAATGGCTAGGCAATGCACAATATCATTTCAATGAACAAAACTGGCATTTTAAGCCAGTGGTCACATATAGTGATTTGTTTGAATGTTGGAGAATTATCATTATCATAAGTGATTAGAATGATTAATTATATTCTTCAGAGTTACTGATCACTGGGATGAAGCTGCTACAAACCTCTTTAAAACCCTCATACAAGGTAGATAACTGAAGTTTTTGTGAGTTTACTCAAATGTGTGAAAAGTTTAGGTAGAAGTGGCTAATGGACATAAGCCTGAGAAATTTGAACAATTCAATTCAGCTCATGTATTTGATGTGGTAAGGTATTTGAAACTCCAAAGATTGCAAAGCCCAATTCCTTGTGTACATACTTGTGTGAGGTTTCAGTGTAATTCTAGTCTAATCTTGGTCTTCTTTGTACTCTTTTCACTCAAAGTTTGCTTAAAAGTCATATTAATTAATTTTAGGATGTAAGCTTCAAGTTACCATCCATAAACAAGATGAGAAAGGAAAGTATCATGTGTTACTATTGGCTGACTCTGGGTATGCTCAGGTAAACACAAAACCATTTTAATTCAGTGTAATTACAGTTATAGTTTTTCTAAAATCCCTTTTTACTACCTTTTCTGGTTTAATAAGATTACATCTGACAGGCCATTTAGCTATGACCTAGCTATGTTATGTTCAGAAAATTGTCATAGGCCAAAAAGTGTAATTAATCTTCTTAAGCTAAAAGAGAAATGAAATTTGCGAGGTCAAACTACAATTGTAAAATAACCTTTTTAATGTATTTGTTGTAAATTATCCTAAACATCTCTAAAACAAAGCTTGTCTTTTGTATACACCTGATTGCAATAACTTGTTGCTAGAAAGCAAAAACAAAAAGAGGAAAAAGCCAATAGGAATTTATTAGGAAGCATAAAAACTATTCTCTAACTGTATGCCCATCGCCAGTGGAACAACTTTTACAGAATTTTGTCCAATGAAAAATTCTTTGAACTTCTCTCAAGTATCAGTTGTTGTTCAGAGATTACAATTGATTCCTCAAATAATGAAAAAAAATCCATTTGCTTATGTCTTATACTAATCAATTAGAATTTAGCTTCTTGCTTTTTTTCTGACATTACTTCAATTATAATTATGTAAACAATATTAAAACCTGCATTTTTAATTTCATGTTTTTCCCTCTAGGTTTGTGTCAATGATGAATTGGTGTTAAATGGCTTTGCAACAAACTTCTCTGAAGATTTAGAAAAACCAAGAATAAAAACAACCAAAGCTGCAAAACTGAAAGCAATGGGAGAAAAATTCCAAAAGGAAGGTGAAGAAATGCTGAAAAATATGAAGGAATATGTCAGACATGGTAATTTCAGCGGAAGTGAAGAATCAAACAGCACTGATGAAGAGTCTATGAGCCAGCGAAGCACTAATAGGTATTTGGGGATAAGGGAATCTCCTCTGGTTGTGTTAAGACAACAGGTTTTAGGACATGGATCATGTCAGGAAAACAATAGCTCACTTCAAAAGCCTTTAGCGAGACTTCCAGAAGGTGCGTGCGAGGGCCTTTCATCTCAGAGACTCTCAGAAGAAAAGACATTTAGCAGTGAAAAGTCGGAAGATGAACTAATGCATGGATTTAGAAAACCGGCAGCAGCATCGAGTGACAATAATTCGGGAAGGGTGCGATTTCTTTCATCTAGACTGCCAGCAACAGGTAGTGGTATGAGGGAAGGTTTTCATCCAATGTCATCAAAATCTCCAGATGCCGTGAATCTGAAGCCCATTCTTAAAAAGAAAAGTGCTCACAGTGGATCTTCCACTGAGGCAGATGAATTTCGTCCGAGAAGACGGGCAGACAGAGACGGTTCAGGTGTTTCCTACTGTGAAATACCTGAATTTTCCTCTAATGGCTCTAATGGTGAAATCTTTCTTAAAGAAATAGAGGAAAAAGAACAGTCCCCCCGAAATAGTTCAATAAGTGTAGATACCTTGTTTAGCCAACACAACGTTAGATTGCCTTTTGAAAATTCTATTTCAACTAAGAAGACAGTTCAGGAAACTGAGTCACTGTCTAAAACTACTGCTGTGGCAAATAGAAATGAAGAGGATCGGCAAAGATTGCTATCTTCAATAAAGACCCTAAAAGAAACCTGTAAGAGAGACTGCGGGTCAACTTTAGATCCCTCTACAGATTTAGTACAAATATGTGAGCCTCCAACGACTAAAAGCAGCTCAGAAATTGCATGTCGCTCTGAACATTCTCCAATACAATCCTCAACAAGCTTACATGTGGTTGAAGGGAGAAATTTAAGTGAAAAATCTACACAATTGTCTCAACTGTTGCAGACTTCTTGTGGTTTTTTTGAAAAGTCTCCTCTTCCTTCAGAAATACTATTACCCACACAGAAGTCAGCTTCACCTGTACAACGCACCACAAGTGGAAAAAAGTTATTATATTCTGATGGTGTTATTGTTTGCTCAGAGGGTGCACCTGCTCCAAAGCCAGTCTTTTCACCAGAGTTTTGCCCATTTCCTCATTATTTGCTTCGGCTTGGTATTTTGAACCCTAGCTTACTTCAGGCACATGCTTGGCCTGCTCTTCTGAGAGGACGTGACCTTGTAGGCATTTGCCAAGCAAATGATGCACAAATACATGCGTACTTACTGCCAATTATTTATCAGTTGGTAGAAGAAAGGGAAATTTATGCGGATCTACCAAAGTTTTCAAGTGGGGTAAGTTTGCTGGGTGGTGGTGGGGTGTTGTTGTACCTAAATTCAAAGTGACAGGGGAAATGTAATGGAACTTTATTGTACAGCCGCCGCTTTGAGTCCTCAGAGATACAAAGCTTTAGTTTTGTATATCTTTTTTTGGGAGGTTAGACATGCAAGAACAAAGTTCATTATTCTTGGGTATTCTACCTCACCGCTAAAGGACTAAAGGAATCCTTGGAGTTGCAGTGTGTAGAAGTCAAGCTCAGGAAAAATCATTTTCAAATTCAAAATTCCTAGTAAATTTCAATGAATAGACCTTTTCTTGCCAACTGTACGGATCAAGCATCTTGTCTGGTAAAAACAGAAGACGGTATCTACTGTGTAGTTTGCTGTTGATAGTAAAAGGGCTCCGTTTGTCTTTAAAATTTCACGTTCTTGCTACATGTGAATGCAGCTATCATGCTATATTGTGCCCCTAGCTAACCTTTAAATCTCGCTTTTCATTCAACTAATTTATTCTTGTTTCTCATCACCATGTTCTTATCAATAGCTTAGCTCCATTTTCTGCATATAAACACACACAACCCACAATTCCTCCATTCGCTCTGACCTCGAAATGTCAACTTTGAAACTCTTCATGGTGGCCAACTCACGTTATCAACTCAGTTGATAACACCAAATATCCCTGTTATACTCTCCCACTGACACAGCATCACAGAAACTGACCCCCTTTAGTCATATATAATCTTATCTGATATGTGATCTTTATATTGTTGTGAATTTCGCTTTGTATTTTTCTTTCCAGCCGCAGTTTCTTATCCTTGCTTCAACATGGGGAGCTGTTGTTGATATCTTCAGGCAATGCAGGCTTATTCTAGCTAAAAACAGGAACATTCGTGTGCAGCTGATATTTGCTGCTGGTGCAGAGGAGAATCAGATTATACCACTAGTGAATGGCTGTGAGATCCTGATTGCTACACCACCTTGCTTCCTTCGAATGCTCAGGAAATGTTATATATCCCTTGATCGACTCTGTCACTTGGTATTTCATGACGCGGACATAATGGTGGAGGACTTCACATCTGAGATCAAATGCATCATGAGACACTACGCCAAGCTTTTGAAATCCCAACCCTGTCGTTCAGCACCACGCCAGGCAGTTGTCATGGCTTCGTCTTGGAGTGTGGGTATAGCATCACTGGTGAAGGCATATCTTGGGAATCCTGTGGTGTTGATTCCTGACATGATTGAAGCAGCTATCTACAGGGGTGTGCAACAAATTGTAACATTTTGCTCCGAGAGCCAGAGGGATGTGGAACTTCTTGGTAAGGGTATTTAAAATTCATAGTGTTCTGGATAGGATTTTAAGCACATATAGGCTTGCTTAACCGGAAGTAGATAACAAATAACGAAGATAGAAACAGCAAGTGAAGTCAAAACATATAGTTTACAAGCAGCTGTCTTGTGGAAAGTGGGAATGATCAAACCTTTTGTCTGTTTCTACATGTATTTAGAACCTTGGAAATATCTCGCAAGTTTTCTATTTTTTCATTTCATTTCATTTCCATTTTTGTGTAAGGATTTAAATCTTTCTTTAACGTTTTCTTTCCCATATTAGGTTACCTGGAATCGTTTATTAGCACAAAAGACATTTGTGTTTTCACTTCCACGGCAGCGGAAGCAGAGAACGTTGGACAAATCCTGAATGCAAACTGTTATTTTGCTCTTGTGGCACACAATTTTCTACCACCTCATGAACTTGACAATATTCAGAGACAGTGGAACACTCCTCACACCACTGATACTATGCCAGTTCTAGGTATGCCATAATGTCTTCAAAACTCTCAGTGGAAAGGCCGTTCCACAGAATCTTATGTTTCCCATAAGTTCCCCTTGTGTTGAAGTGAGTTTGACAATTTGGCAAAAGCTGAAAAAAAAAAAGAGAAAAGAAAATGAAAGAAATGACTAAGGAGGCCTGCTTTAAAGACTTTGCAGTTCTGAAATTGTGTATCATCTGTATCCCTTTTTTCCCTGAAGTTTTTTCTATCGGAATTACTAGATGTGTTCTTGAATAAAGCATTTTGTAGGGTCAGATTATTGATGCATCTATGCATATAGTTATATAGTTTAATCTAGATTTTAATTTTCATTTTGGCGAAAAGATGACCAATGCAATCACAGTTTAATATATAATTTTAATAATAAAATTCAGTTATAGCGGAAGACGTTATTGGTCAGATGAACATCACAAATGCCTCATGTGTAATACACTTCAACTTTCCTGGTTCAAAGACACGATTTAGCAAAAGACTCTCCACTCTAGCTGGGACTTTTACATCATCTGAAGTAAGACACTCTTCACTTCTTTTCTAAAATTCATTGAGGTAGTCCTAACTTTTTAACATCCTTTCTACAAAGTTTATGATTCCGGAGCGTATGAGATCTTGCTGTCACGTGAGTAATTCCCACTCTGTTCCCACAAAAGTAATTTTTGTTTATCTAATCTTTCAGCTAATTTATTAATACTTCATTGACCAAACTTGTTTGGTTCGGCTGATTCGGTATTAACCTTTGTTTTTCAAAGTTTATAACAACAGAAAAAAAGGAAAAAGGGGGAACTTGTCTTACGTATATGAATTACTACTTGAGGCATGAACAGTGAATTTTACAGGGATCAACCAACCAATAACATGCCACTAGCCCACAAGGACAATCATATATTCATTTTCTTTCTTTGTGAATTTGATTTTCTGAAGGAGCATGGCTGTGTCTCTGTTATTTTTGTGACTGATGGCCGAAATATGTATCACGCTCCTTCCATACGTCAGCTTGTACAGAGATCAGGTCAGGAAGTTCCACAACTACTTGATGCAATGGCCGACCTTGCAAAACAGGCAAGTCTTTGAAATAAAATTGGAGTATAGTTATTTCAATTTTAACAGACGAAACTGGGAGGCTGCTCTTAAAATTTACAGAACAAAGTAGTGAAATCCTCCTAGATGTTTTAATTTACTCTCTCTGCAGGAAAAAGAAAAGGTTAAGGAGTTGTGTTATTCTCTGAAAGCTTTTGGAACTTGCAGGTAATTTATAATGCCTTATCGTGGAGTAAACCCATAGGGCGTGTTATTTAAACAAAGTGTAACTGTTGTTTAACAAGACAGCCTCCTAAGCTATTCTAATTTAGCTGAAACTTCCATCTAAACATTTATTTTTATGAGCAGTGTGAAGAGGACCGAAAATTAATTGTGGAAGTAAGACATTTGTTTGGTTAAATTAACCCTCTTATAGAGAATCCCCAAGACCCACTAATTACGTAAAACTGTGGTTTAGGTTAGGCCTCGTGTAAATAACCGGCCCACAGTCAGTAAAAAACTGTCTGGTCATTGTGTTGTGTTTGTTAAGCCTGAAATACTCGGGCTCACGCATGGGCTTTAGAACCTCGACGACGACTTGTGGACTGAATTCAAACAACCCCGAGTTATAAACTCAGGCCTCCCATGGAGCACCTGGGTAATGATAATAATTTTTCCTTATATTTAGATACCAAAGGGGAACGAGAAACTGTTTGCAGAGACACTCAGTGTTGGCAGAGTTGGATAAACCAGCAAAAGGAATTCCTACATCTGGCATAGTTAAGGTAAGCTTCAGAAGGAAGTTCGTGTAATTCTATTTATTATGTATCTTGCCCTTTTGCAGGCAAAATGAGTTTCACTTTTGTTCCAATTGGTCCCCCTTGCGGCAAAAGTGAGTCGTTCTTACTAGTCGAGATTACTTGCTTTGTTTAGCAAATACAACTAATCACTCACCTCCTACATACTGAATCTGTGTATGGCCTGGCTCGTTAGCGATTTCTTGTCGCTCAGTTAATGTAGCATCCTAAAACAAAACCGGAACTGGCAGGATTCTAAATTCTTATGGGGAAACCCTGAGTTTTTTTCCCTCTAGCCCTAGATTGTTACAATTTTTTTCGCATCTACCTTTAAAAAGAACATTTCATGACTTACTCTAGATACTGATTACGAGTGTAATGGATGCAACTTGTTACTGGGTGCGAATCCTTGAGCACAAACCCTCCGATGCAAATCCGCTGAACAGTCGAACTGTAGACTGCACAGAGTTCCTGGAATTAACAATGGCAGTCAGTCGATGGTACGCTGATTCAAATCATCGGGTTAAGCAAGAGTTGGTTTCTATTGGTGACCTGTGTGCTGTGAAGCTAATTAACAGCAGTTCCTACAATAGGTAAACCACTAGAGATATGGCAATCATTGTAGATTGAAACACTTCAGCTTTGACATGAACTTACATCCGCATAATAATCTAGTACTATCAACTGAGTTGATAGTGTAAGCTGACCACCGTAAAGAGTTTCTTTTCTTTCTTTTTCTCTTAACGGTGGCCACTTTACGTTATCAGCCCAGTTGATAATACTGAATTACCCTGTTATACTCCCACTGACACAGCACCACAGCTCTTTAGAAACTTACCCCTTTTACTTGCATCAGATGCTCGAATCTAATCCTTTGAAGCTATACTATTGTGTCTCCAGGGTGAAAGTGTGCTATGTAACTAAGGAAGATCACAGTAAAAAGCCAGCGGAAGTGCGGGTAAGAATGTCTTGGTTTATTTTACTGTTAGTTACTTGGTGCATGGATAGCGAAGGGAGGAACGTTACGAGCATGAAGAGCAACGTGATGAGCATGAAAAAAGACTTCGCATTCCTTCTTTTGCGCGTTACAGCATGGAACCAAACGTTTCCCTCTAGATAAAAAAAGATGTATCTCGCTTGTTCACGAGCGCGGGACAAAGAACAATTCTGAGTCTCAATTAGGAATCAAACCTCAGTCCTTCGGATTCCGTTAGCAGGCGGCCTACATCGGGTACCACTGAGCCACAGGGACTCTGCGGTTAGCTAGGCCACCACTCAGTTCACATGTTCACTAGGTGTTTATATCTTTATTCGTAGGTTCAATATGTTGACAGGGGAAATTTTGAATGCGTTCATGTGGACAGACTTCTGCAGTTGCCTCCCCAATTTCACTCCTGTCCCTTCCAGGTATGTTTCATCAAGAAATTATAAAACCTATTTTCCTGGGTTTTATAATGAGAAAAAAACGCTTCTGTTGTTGGCAGAGTACGAGAATGGTCTTTAAATCACAAGCTGTAAGGCTAGTGATCTACATTAACAAGCTTTTCGTCATTTTTTTTTCCGCTTAACTCGTACAACTTAAGTCCCTTTGAAGAGTTTGTTCACCTTCATAGATAACATTGCTCAGTGTAGCTAGACACATTTAATGGCTAAGTAAGTGTAGGTTTGACCGGTTACGCGTCACCTTTTGAACCTTTATATTACGCCGTGATTGGTGCTTTTCGACCTTCACTGTTCTGGTGATGCGGTCCTTCAGCGATGCGCTGTCGCTAATTTGTTGTTGTGTTTACTGTATCGTAGTCGCCAATTCTTCAAGAACTTCTTTTCTATTGTTCCTTTTGATTCGAAATTTCGTCGGCAGTGCGCATTTAGAAAGTCGCGATCAAGACCGGATCAGACCACATAATCCAGCAAATATTAAAATTTTTTCACTTATTTCACCACGATGAATACCAACGAGCATTAGTGTTACTTCAACTCTGTTCTGTATTATGTTTTTTAGGCAGTTGAGGTGTTCGTGTGCAGATTACAACCTTTGGATAAAGACACTGACTGGACTGACGAGGTAAAGGTTAAGAATTCGGAAATTATCACTGAATTATTTGACTTTGAAATCGCTCAATTTGTTGACAAAGAGTTATTTGGGATACCTTGTGATAAACTTCTCGGTGATCGCGTTCTTTTGATTCAATCCAACACACTCTAGTAAGAGTTTCTGAATGTCAAAAATAAACAACTCAACTGATTTTTGATATGTCTGTTTAAAAGATTGATTTCTCTTCGCTTTTATTTACAACAGACGGCAGCATATATCACACGTCTCATTGAAGGCAAGGAAATGGAAGGAAAAGTTGTTTTGAGGTGAGGTTCTTTTTCGACTGGGAAGACGCATTCATTGAAATTACAGGCAGACAATAATCGAAAATAACGTGAAGTTTATGGAAGTTCTCCTCCCCCCCACCCCCAAAGGAAAAAATTTTGATGATCAGATTGGGCGATTTTTTTACGTGAATGGAGCCTCGCAGCAAAGTCACAGGGCGCAAAAAAACGCAAAGTGTGCCTGTATCAATGAAAAGGTGAATCGCTCGCCCAGTGACTTATTGTTCTCACTTTGGTCTTGCAGCTTAGGCAACACGATGTGGCTGGATCCTTTGGTCGAGAGGAAATATCTTCCCAACATCAATGTTACGACCAATGCGTTGAATGTTAGGATGGAACTGTTGAGGGAAAAACGTGCAGCTGAAAACAAACAGGTAAGAGGTTTCTCCGCTTTAACGCTTGTCTGAACAATAGTGGGGAATTTTATTAGTTTGGTACAATATTCCATCCAGAGTAGCCTACGTCGGACAGATGAGAAAACGCGACCCTCTCTCCTTGACAGTTGAATTAACTGACCTCTCTAATCCGGATAAATTGTCGGCTGGTCATACTGGCCCAGTTTGAAAACTTTAATTTTTCTTCAACGCTTAGACCTAACTTACACAGTACTGCAAACCGAAAACAGAGCTTTCTGAAAACGTGAACTTGACTACTCTTTGTATTTTGAGACATTTCAGTTAGGCCCTTCTTTTGCGCACGCTCAAATGCTCTCTAGCGATATATTGTTGTGATTGTTGCGCTTTCAACTTTTTCCGACGAGACATGAACGAACCACATTTTATCCGTTGCGATTTATCAGTGTGATTGGGGTCTGAAATGAAGTTTTTTATTTCCATAACTCTTTTAAAAGCACGTGAGCTTGCTGAGAAACCTTTGTCAGGGGGTCATAGTTTTACAGCCTCTGGAAGGAGGACAAACTCGTGTTTCGGATGTCAGGTAAGGATTAATCCTTCCCTGTTACTCAGGGGTAAAAACATGAAAACGCAAGACCGCCTTAGCCTCTTTCCACACTCAGTTTTGGGTTTTTTTCCAGTTGTTTATCCGATAAAATTTCCCATGTTAACTCTCGCTTTGGACGAAATTGATGGCTCTGTTAATAAAAATGTGAGAGCTTTTTTTGTTGCTGTTCTTGTTGTTTTTTCTTTTTCCAATGATTTGAGTTAATATTGTGTCTGAACAGTGCCTCAGTGATGAAAAGATTGAATGAAATAATGCTGAGTAGTTGCGAGTCAGTTTGTGAACATGCAGGCTTTTGAGAGGAGAGCGACAACCCTCTAGTGAAGGCTTATCCACATGTTATCACATCTTGCCATATTCTACAATCGTTTATACCGCTTGAGATCTGTGTACATGGTGTCTTATTTCAGTGAACAGTTGCCTGCTCTGGAAACAAGCGTGCTACCTGAGGAAGGATTCCACTCTGTGTATGTGTCTGCTGTGGAAAATCCAGGACTTTTTTTTGTCCAGCTGAAGTCTTCAGAAGAAAGGTTGGTAATTTGTAAACCCACATCTCTCTCTACTTTCCAGGTTTTTTTTTTCGGCGAATACATGAGGTAAAATTTTCCCCGCATTTTAACTTGTAGGATTTGACGATTTTTTTTTTTGTTATTTTGCTGTTATTGTTGTAGTCAGTTCTTTTTTGCCCATTTGTGGGATTGAAAAAAATTCGCTAAAAAGTTAAGAATTGAAATCCCCTTCTGATTTTCATGCTTCACATTAAATGTTCACTCATCCACCGCTGCAGCACAAGTTTCTTTCAAATACAGGCTTTTGTTCTTCTATATCAGTCCGTTTCTCGGGTATTTTACCTTCTATAAGTGCAAACAGCAAAATTTGAACTTCGTTTTGTCGCTTTCAGCCAATTGAAAATAATTCCAAGAGATAGTTTGCTTAAACTGACTAAATACTTCGTGAGACGACACAGCGTGCGGACGAGTCGACGTTAAACTACTCCGTAGCATCAAGCCTAATACTTAACGCATTATCTGATGTTAATTTTTGTAGCTTAGAGGACCTGAAGCAAAAGATTAACTCTGGAGTCAACAAAGTTGAATCGGAGGAGAACGAGATCCCAATTGGCTCGCTCTGTGTTGCAAAGTTTTCCGAAGATGACCTGTAAGTTACTTTACCACGCTCTAAACAGTGCGTCTTTTACCAAAAAAGTATCTGTTATTAAAATCTCATCGTTGGTATTTTATTTTCGAGCAGGTTCAGTATATCATTGTTCTGACGATTAATTTTGATTCGAATTTACTTGAATTTCTTGGTGATAAAAACTGTTATCTTACTTTATCTTACGGACAGGATTATTTTTTCCCTTGAAAAATTAAATTTTTGTCGCCTTTTTCGTATTTTTTACTTTGGACGGACAAGTACTTCAAACTTTCTTTCCTTCCACTCCATTCCCCAGGCGGTTTTAGTGTGCCTTTTCTCTTGGCCACCAACGCCTCTAAGTAAAATCTTTTCCAGTCCTTTATCTCGTGACTACAAAATTTCCCGCTAAGCATTTTGCTTTAGGAAGATATCTAGCTTAAAGGGAGTGCAACTGCGAACTACTGTGTTATTAACCGTTCCCTTTGTAGAAACGGTATAACCACAAATTTAGCAACACAGGTATCCATACAGTACTGTTAATTTTTCCTCTCCTCTAGTTGGTACCGGGCGCGTGTCCTGGGCAGCAGGCCAGATAAAGAGTATGATGTATTTTATGTGGACTTTGGTGACAGAGAGTGGGTAACAGCGGACAGGATTGTTCCAGCTTGGAATGACATCCTTCAGCTGCCCCTCCAGGCTGTTGAGTGCTCGCTTGTCCACGTCGAACCTCTTGGTAAGTTATTTAAGTGTACTCATCTAAGGAGCTTTAAACGTGGCAAGCACGTGGCAAGCACGTGGCAAGCACGTGGCAAGCACGTGGCAAGCACGTGGCAAGCACGTGGCACGTGGCAAGCACGTGGCAAGCACGTGGCAAGCACGTGGCAAGCACGTGGCAAGCACGTGGCAAACAAGCTATGGAAATACGCCACAGGAATAGAAAGTGGTAACGTCTAAAAAGAGTATTCACTCTGCAATGTTGGCTCGGCGCACCAACATGGTCTTCTTGTGATTGTTTTGGTACGATGCGAGGCTCTGTCGGATCTAATCACGTGAAAACGCTCCATTGTCGTACTTAATAAAGATGCAACGGTCATCGTTTTTAAGAAAGTCAAAGAGATCTATCAATGAGCGACCTGAGATGTACAAAAACTTTGTAGGGCCAAGGATAGCCTGGATAGCCTTTCAATGTTTTTTGTTTTAACTAATTGTGGTTCTTTTTACAGAGAAAGAATGGAGCGATGAGAGCAGCGACGCTTTCTGGGAAATGGTGACTGATCAGTTACTATTCGCAAAGGTACTGATGTGTTCTGAGCACGTGTCCTGAATGTTGTTCTCAGTCGTTGTTGCATCAGATTGGTAAAGTGCAAAGCGCAGCTCAATTGGTATAGTAGTGATTTTTAAAGTACAATTGCTCAAGCACTGTAGTGAAATTTGCTCGTCGGGCCGGCTTACTTGGAAAACATTAACCACTGAATGGATTTGAGACTTTTTGTGGAAATAAATGCAATCACTCCATCTAACGTGTAAAGTAAATTTTTACTTTTTATTAAGAGACTAGTTTTGCACCTCTAATTTCAACTTGTTAGTTTAGTTCTAGCCTTGATTGATTATCCGAATCTATTTTAATCGATTTTCGCACATAGCCTGTTTCAGTTCCCTGCTTGTTCTTAGAGGGGCTATTTTTCTTCAGAATGACAAATACCTGGACAAATTTTTGGTTAGTTTACCCTAGTCCCTCAAGTAGCGAGACAATGAACAGATATCAATCTTGATTTTTGAAACTCATCGTCAGCCTTATCACTGTTTCCGCTTCAGGTGAAATCTAAGAGTGCGTCTCTGGTGGCTGGATGCCACAGATTTGCAATTGAACTCTACAACACTAACACAGAACATGACGTCATTATCAGCCACGAGATGGTTGCAACGGGGCATGCGCAGACGTCTGCTGAAGGATTTAAGGTCTGTCCTTAAAAAAATTTTTCTATGTAAGAGATCTGAATCGCCTTTAGTGGCTCTGTTTGCATGTTGATTCACTCTTTGGAGTACGCGCAAATCGTTATACTTGCTTTGCTTAATACAGTAGTCTGTTCTTAGAAATACCATAATCTCTAAAGGCGTGCTAAATCGCAATAATTGAATTTAATTTTGGTGCCGTGCAGAGGCGCTTCATCTTCAGGGAAACCTCGAAATGTTGATGCTGACTGAAGACCAATGAGGTCCTGAGAAGGAATTGTAAATGCAAGCTTGCAAACTTTAGGTTTAATCATTCGAGATGTACTTGATGTAATTCAGTTCTTTGACTCTAATTTTTAATATAATTCCTCAAGTGATTATAGAGATGTGCGCACTCTGATTGGTCGAGGATTGCGTCATATGTCGTGATTTAGCATTTCAACAGTGGTTCAACGTCGTCGGTACTTTTATCAACCACGATATTTGCTATTACAGTGGCATAGCTGAGAGAGTCCGCAACAAAACGCTGTCGATTTGTTTTTTACCACAACTGATATCGACGTCAAATAAAACGATTCTTTCAGTGTGTGATCAAGGTTATGACATGTTGACGCGAGAAACGTTGTCTGTACTCTCATCCACATCGGGAAATTGTGGTTAAAAATCACCTCGCGCGAGATGATTATGGCTGGGGCGCTTAAGATCAAATTGGCTACCTCGCGTTTTGTCAATGTTTCCGAGGCAGTGATAACGCATCAGTAGAAAATTCTATGGCGAAGAGCACAAAAAATGTCACCGCGTTTGGTGGAACGCTTTTCTGAAGAAAGATGTGAAATTTTTGCTGATTGAAATAACTAAACCAGTACTCAAACTCCTTGCCCATCACGATACTAGTAATCACCACAATTGTCACAAAATATACGCAATGCTTTCTTTATTTACAGAGTTTACAACAGAATTCGAAAGCACCTGAGCAACTATACTCAAACAACTATTCACTTAAGGCTCAATGAACATTCCTGAATAATTTCTTCTGCTTTGTCTGGGGGATTATTCAACAATATCCACTTCGCTTTCGGCGAAGCATTTTTAAATAACTTACTTTATTGCTGTTTTTGTTGTTTTACCTTATTTAGTTTATTTTAATCTAGAGAGACAGCGCAATATACACAGCTATTTTTCTTCTCTTTTGAGTGGGTGTTTTTTTTCCTCAAACAGATTTTATTCCCGCACTCTTTTATTTCTAGTGAGCAACACAATTACAAAGTAAGTAGAGAAAGTGTTGATAAAGGTTATCTGATCACATGAATCTTTTTTTCTTTTTGGAACTCTCTACTTTACTTTTTGGTTTTAAAGGTTACGTGCTGCGCTAATTTCTCGATCCGTCCATTTTAAATCGTAGTTTTCATACCAAAGGATACCAGATATGTGCTTACAAGCCCATCGGTGTTTGGTGAGTATCAGGGTTGATTGATTTTGTTCTATGAGTTTCAACCCTTCTATTAATCTCGATAATTTTTGCTGATTTTCGTCACTGATTAATTCAAGAATCCCCGTGCAATTCATTATGTTGTGTCTTCATATTTCATCGTATTTTGTCATAAATAAATCAGACACACTGTGATTGTCATCAGTTATGCTCCTTGGGACATTTTTCTTTTGCCTTATTGAAGTATTTTTCTCCATCATGCATCAACCGATAATTATCTTCAACGTGTTGTTTTATTTATGAGATAGGAAGCGCTTCGAATTTTATTTAGACTTGTTTTTTTTTTCCACAACGTTTTCCAAACACCATACGTCACCAGCTGCTTTTTCGTTCCTTATAATATCGGAAAGTTCTTCTAAGATATGAAAACGTTATGCATTAAAAGATTTTGACAACGTAGCACAAACTGAATAAAAACGTTATGATGTAGGTGAGTTCAGCCATGAGTTCATTGCTATCAATGGACCGATAATTCTTTCGTTTTGACGGATATGCACCTGGTCATCTCAAACCCTGCCGTGCTCAATTGTTTTTCATCTGTGATGAGTCGTTCCTCGTTTTTATGAAATTAGTGGTAGATGGTGTTTTGCACGTTCCTAATCGTCCTTGGCAAGGCGTTCGTGTTTCCGTTGAATGTACCATACTAAATGTTATTAGAAACTTTGCGAGCTGCTTCCTTACCTTTATCCATCGCGCTTCTTAACTTTTAAAACGTTGAAGATATTGGTCATAAGAAACTAAGTAGACTGTGAATCGTTCACGTCTTGGTCGAGGTATCCATGTACCACACTCATTAGACTCGCGCTCGCTATCAATTGAAGGTTGTTGAGGGGCTCTTCACGGCGGTTTGTGTGTCTATCTGTTTTCACCTGGCAAGCCTGTTTAGGTGTCTTGGACATCGTTCCCTCTCGATTACTATTTCACCGGATGTTTCGTGTTACAACCCTGAAATCCGGTTTGAGGAAGCTATACACGATGGGATTTACCAATGAGGTAATGGCTATTGTATATAATGAAATTATCGGCAGGACATTGGGAACGATGTCGAACCGACCAAAAATATCGACGGCGGTTGTCATATAAATGATCGGCATCCACGAGGTTAGGAAGGACACAGAGATGATGAAGAAAAGTTTCGCTACTTGTGCATCAGAGGAGATGTGTCTGCGTTTGTTGATCTGTTTCATTGTGCAATCTAATTTATTTCTCGATGCCAAGCCTTGCCTCACTGCCTTAAAAATCCTAATATAGGCGATTGTCATAAAGATGTACGGAGTGATCACGCCAACGAATTCCAAGCAAACAAGGTACACCAAGTGAATTGTCTTTGAACGATCAGCTCTCCAAAATAACGGCAATAAGCTGTATATGGTTGGAAATAACCATACAGTGATAATGGTCTTTTTGAATATCTCAGGTATGCGGTAAGTGTAGTGCAGAGGCTTAGTAATGGCAACGTATCGATCGTAAGTGAGTGCGCATATGTTAGCAACACCCCAGAGCAAGATCATACTTGACAAATAGTCTACAACGGCGTGTGTTGGCCGCATGATCAGCACGGGAAATAAAATGCCTCCTGTAAGTATGTCGGACACAGCAAGTGAAACAGTCAGCCAGTTTGTGTATGTTCGTGGGACTCTGTTCAAGCAAACGAAACTAATAACGAAGAGGTTCGCGGCAACGATGAGAACGGATAACACGGTAAGGGAAACTGTCACGCAGAGATCCATCTTTGATTCTGTTGAGTTCAAGAAAAGGCTCCTTTTACTTTTGTTGGTTCCTCAAATCTCCCTGAATTACATCGGAGCCGGTAAATGGCTCACAGAGTTAACTTTAGGTTCAGTAGAATTCCGCAGCCCAGTTGGTCAAGGAAGAAGAATCTGACGGAAATGGCACTGCACGCGAACATTTGTATAATTTTTGTAATGTGACGTTATTTCTGTTACACAAATGAATCAAATTTCTTCGTCAATTGCCTAGGAAACGGTTAACATCGTTATCGTTACTGTCCCTTCAATCAAAAGCTGCGCTAAACACCTGTAAACAGACTGCATTGGTAAGAAAGGAAAGCAAGACAGGGAAATTGTTTTCCATGGCTTTACTAAGAATTTTTTTCGTGACAAATGTTTGATTCTTAGACACCTGAATTAAAAAATAATTGCCTCTGTAATCATCTCTCTGTTCCATGCATATCTATCTCTTTGTTATTGAAACAAATCAAAGGGCTCTTGGAGCTAGCTCATTCATGTTATGGCTTAGGTTTGTATCGATTTCTTGGACTTGTTGAATATAGGTACAGTTGATTTCGGTTTATGTGAACTTTCAAGACTTGGAATAAACTCTCTCTTATTTTGAGCAGTTGTGTGATCAAAAAAACTTGTGCATTCGTCGTGATGAGAATTGGAAAAAAGGTTGTGTGGGCAGGAGGTAGGATGGGCAGAGGTCATTAAGCAGACAGTGTCCTTTTTGTTGGTGTGTGTGTTTGTGTAGTCACCAAACACATGAGGGATAAAACCACTAGAAAAGTAAACAAATGGCTAGTCACGGAAGCAACCTTCTCGCTTTTCCCTTATAAAAATTCGCTGGTTCCTGATGTACTAAGCCAATAACAGTATAGGGCACATATGGAAAAATCAGTGTGTGTACACCCCTGAAAGTTTTAAAATATATCAAGTCGTAGGAACAGTTTTGGTCTCGGTCTGCATTTTTGTCAACAAAATGAACACATATCGGTTAAAACGATGAAACGTTCGTACCACGTGTAAAGCTGTCACTGAATTGTTTCTCGAATATTGCGCGTATCGAATATTCAATAGTGACATCTCCTTTACATCTCCATCTACATCTACTTTTATTAAGTTAGTAAATTCTGTACCGACATCTCAGCAACTAACTCGCGCGCAAAGTGAGAAGACTATATGAGGGCTTGAAATTATATTAAGAACGATTTTGATCAAGAAACGGGCAAGGAATACTCCACGATAGTGCAAATAATCGTGAAAGATGATCGCGGAAAAGCGATTGCGTGACTCTCGGTAAGTTATAAAATGACATGTTATCCACGTATTTGACGAAAAAACAGTATAAATTCTCAGTTTGCATTTTTTACCCAGTCTGCAGTCTGTATTTTGTACCCGGTCTGCAGTCTGCATTTTGTACTGACCGGATTGGTATTGCTGTTTTTGTTCGAGCGAGCCTCAAGTCCGGACCGAAATGTGGGAGCTCGAAAAAGAATTCTAGTGAGACTATCTTGGCCGCTATGATTGCTATGTGGAATGTATGTTGAAGAGCTCACGAGGAAAAGTACAATGATATAGCAATAATTACTTTATACTAACTGAAGACGAACGCAAATGCGCGGCTTACCAATATGGCGACCTTTGATGCTCTTTCGCGTGGTCACAACATGTGTTGAAATGAACCCGCTACGGGTCCCCTAGATGTGAACATTTCGGCTTCTCGATTCAAGTTGCATTTTAAGAAGTTCGGACATGTGATTTGAGGTTATTATTTTTATTAAACCATATAATCATTTTATTCCTTTCCACGTGAGTTTCGGAGCTTCATCGAAATTAATTTTGATTTTCACTAATTGGGAAGGGGTAGCATGCGAGACTACTTCCGTTCACGGTCCACAATACAACTTCCTTCCACGGAATACAACTTCCGTCAACATCTGCTCTACCACGATACATCATTCATCGCTTTCAGCATGAATGAGCTAAAAACAGCAAACTGTACAAAACCTTGGTGCTATCGCATGAAAACGGTGATCAATCTCACTTAATCGATATTACCTACAGATTCATTTCCAGATCGACAGTTTTTTTTTTGCAAGCTTCTTAAAGGTTGTCAAAAGTTTGGTAAGGTTAGGGTTTTTTGTTTGAATCTGCTGCCAGCGAGTTCATGTCACATGCCGTATTGATTTTATGAAACCTGTAACTTTAGATGGAAAGGTAGTTGACCCAGGATTCCTCTCTGTGTTTCATAATTTTTTTAGAAAGTAAATAGGCGGTCTTTTCCCAACAGCAAAGAAAGCATTATCAAATTCAAATGACGGTGTCAAATGTGGTGAAGTATTAAGTAAGTATGCCAATCACAAATGATGTATTGCCAAAGTGCAATAGAATATTTATGAATTAAAAATCTGCTTCATCACAAGAATGATTTGGTCGAGTAACACAAACCTGACGAACATCTTCCGTGAAAAACTTGATATTTCTCCACGACATTCCTTTTCTCAGAATTGCTGTTTTTTCTTTAACAAAAGTGAAAACATCTGTCACATAAAGGAAATCAACCATTTTACAAACGAAGTGTGACTTTAATGTTTCTTCGAAATATTATAGTCGACGGATTATCAACGCAGTTATCAATGTGGGTCAGTATATTGTTCAATTGCAAGTTTACTTCGAACTGTTTTCGATTGTGCTTAAATTTGAATTTATGTGATAGAAAGCGCTTTGAATTTTATTGAGACTCTTATTTGCACTACGTTTCCCAAAGGCCATATGTCACCGGCTGTTTCGTCATTCTTTACGATGTCGGCAATTTCTTTTAAGGTTCAAAAGGAAAGAAATCATGACACAAACTGAATAAAAACCTTTCCTGATACAGTTGAGTTTAGCCGTGAATCCACTACTAGCAATGAATTGACAATTAGGTTTTTTGGCTGACATGCACATGGTTATCTCCAAACTCTTGCCGTGCTCTAATGGTTTTTTCTTCTTTTTTATACGTGATGAGTTATCGCACTTTTTTTGAGATGCGTAATCATTCTATCATTCTATGCAAAGTTTGCCTATATAGTACATCATGGCTAATGTTAATTGAAACATTGAAAGCAGTCTCCATGTTTTTATGCATTGCGCTTTTTAATATTTTTTTTTACAGTCGAAGAAAGGTATAAAGATAATCACTGGCGTGTAAATCTATCTTTCTTTGGCTCGAAGTGTCTATATGCTTCACTCAACCGACCTGCCCTCGATTTTTGGTGAAGGTTGTTGTGGGGACTCTTCGCGACTTTTCGTGTCTCCTGTTTTCACTTGATAACACCGTTTAGGTGTCACTGACATCGCTAGCACTCGATTGCTCTTTCCAAACATATTTCGTGTTACGACCCTGAAATCCGGTTTGAGGAGGGCATACACAAGGGGATTTACCAGTGAAGCAATAGCTATTGTATACATTGAAATAGTCGGCAGAACATTTGGAACGATGTCGGACCGACCAAAAACATCAACGGCGGTTGTCAAATAAATGATCGGCATCCACGAGAGTAAGAAGACCACCGAAATGATAAGAAACAGTTTCGCCACTTGAGCATCTGAGGAGATGTTTCTGCGTTCGTTGACTTGCTTTCTCGCGTAATCCAAATTTTTTCTCAATGCTAAGCTTTGCTTTACATCCTTAAAAATCCGTAAGTAGGCGATTGTAATGAAGAAGTATGGAATGATCACCCCAGTTAATTCTAAGCAAACAAGGTACACCAGGTGTATTATTTTTGAACGATCATCCCTCCAAAATAACGGCAATAAGCTGTATATGGTTGGAAATAACCATACAGTGATAATGGTCTTTTTGAATATCTCAGGTATGCGGTAAGTGTAGTGTAGAGGCTTAGTAATGGCAACGTATCGATCGTAAGTGAGTGCGCATATGTTAGCAACACCCCAGAGCAAGATCATACTTGACAAATAGTCTACAACGGCGTGTGTTGGCCGCATGATCAGCATGGGAAACAAAATGCCTCCTGTAAGTATGTCGGACACAGCAAGTGAAACAGTCAGCCAGTTTGTGTATGTTCGTGGGACTCTGTTCAAGCAAACGAAACTAATAACGAAGAGGTTCGCGGCAACGATGAGAACGGATAACACACCAAGGGAAACTTTTATGTAGAGATCCATCCTTGATTCTGTTGTGTTTCTTTGAACTTGATATCCTTGGATATCCTACAGAAGGCCTCTTTTCTTCTGCTGGTTCCTTTAACTTCCCTGGCTCAAGAATAGTACCAGCATGTGGCATACACAGCCACATTTAGGTTAAGTTGAATACACGAAAAGTTTTCCGCAGCCCAATTGGTCAAAGGTAGAAAATCTGACAGAAATGTCGCGACTGTGACACAAATTATTTCACTTACGTTGTCAATTGCTTAGGAAACGGCTAATATTCCTTTTATTCTTGTCACCTTAAGCAAAAGCTGCGCTTAACACCTGTATCCTGAACGCATTAGCCAGCACGGAAATTGTTCTGCACGGTTTTAGCAGCAAGAATTCTTGTCAGAGAATAAACAGACGTGATAGACACCATGTCTAGACATTGTTATCAAATGATTGTAATCTAAGTATAAAATTGGCATTGTAAAAGATGGCAGACAGAATAGAAAGAGATTGTTGAAGCGAAACGACTGCACGAGTGAAAAAGAAACAAAATCAAGTGAAAGGTACAGTCCCCTCTTGTGTTTGAACACCAGCGCCGGGATAATTCCCGTACAATTCTTGAAACTTCAAATACATCCTGAAAGGTAGATAGTTCTATGTATTCATTAAAACCCTAAGTTAAGAATAATCCTCATCGTGTTCCATGCATACCTTCCCTTAAAACTGAATCTAAAGATAGGCAAACAAACACAAAGCAGGGGTTACACATTCAACATCACTGGATCGATCATTTTCTTTGAATTAATTACCAGACCTGACAGTTTTTTTTTTGTTAAATAAAATTTAGGCTTATCCGAGGGAGAACCGCTGATCACCTCCGTCGTTAGAATCTGCTGCCGGAAAGAACAAGTCTATGCAATATTGGTTGTATGGTGTCTGTAACTTCGGAGCGTTCCATGTATAATTTTTTTTTGTCAAATGGAAAAAGCGGTCCTTTTCCTAGCGCCATGATAGCATTTCTTTGGCTTAAATGTCGGTGTCAAATGCGGCGGAGTATTTTAATAGGAACCTTAAATATTCATGTATCAGCCAGAAGGATATTTGAAACCTGGAGAGGACAACCTGGTTTGTACGCTTGAAAAAAAAGTCACTATATGGGTAGATGCTGTCGCTACGATGTTGGAACAAAGCCTTCCCGGTATGCATTCAGAAAATTGGTGTCACTCAAACCATAGCCAACTGCTATCAACTCATGTTTGTCTTTAAATCCATTTAAGGGCCCTCGTCAGTAACTTAAGCGAATAGTTGGCTGTGGCTCGACGTTTTTCTTTTTTGCTCTTATTTAACAAAATTTGGAAGGTTGATTTAAAATGAGAGTGCAAACCAAATTGATTTGTCAGACACGTAACCTAATCAAAAAATGAACGGTTCCCCGATGCTTACAGTATTGTCTGTAGTTTGAGGTAATCTGTCAATCACAATACACTCACGCGTGCATTTTGCCTTTTCATGAAAATTAAAGTAAAAGTCGAACAAAAATCGTGTCCTTTCAACCAGTCAAGGAAAATTGTGTTTCTTTCGATTCACGACATAGAGAGGCAGTACAAAATTTTGCAAGTTGGGAACGGTTGGTTTTTTCATCCGCACCGAAAACAGAACATTATGGAGGTTTGAACGTTAAATTATTGGAACTAACAATCGTAATTGACATCAACACACCGAAATGGTTTCCTCATTTTTTTGCAACAAGGTTTTTTTCTATGCATGCAAACGCCAACGTTTTAACATTATGACAACAGTGAAAGTGTGAAAACCTAAGCAGAAGTTACTGTTTGCAAAGCAACCCGAAATAACTACGCCGTTGTGTCGAATTAAATTTCGACTGATGGAATTAAGTCCCATTCCATTTGACCATCTGACCTTTGAAAAAATTTGGCATGAAAATATCAATTACGTGTGTAGTATGTTTTAATATTACCTTGAGCACAAGGCTACGTATGGTGAATCATCATATTAAATTCTAATTAACGTTCAGCTGTACAAATCCGCATAAAAACATGCCGGAATTAGCATACCTAAGATATTCAAAAGAACTTAGTTGCTGTGTAGTTAATCCCAACAAATACCAGCTTACTTCCTCTGTTCTGGGCAACAGATCGTGCATCAATATTCCACAAGTGGTACATTGCGTGCCTGGAGGTGTTTGGCGTCGTCATTCCGTACATCGTCATAAGCGTCGCTTATATTCTGATTTTTAAGCAAGTGCGGCACAGTTTGGCGTTGAGGAAAAAATTTGTATCTGCGATAAAACAGATCAACGAACCAAGACGCATTTCCCAAGATGCTAAAGTGGCTAAAGTCTTCTGCATCATCTCAGCGGCATTTTTATTTTCGTGGATGCCGATCATTTATATGACAGCCGCAGACATTTTCTTCGGTCGTTTCGATATTGTACCGAGTGTCTTGCGCACAATCTTATACCACATAATAGCAGTTGCCTCCTTAGTTAATCCCTTCGTGTATGCTTTCCTAAAACCGGATTTTATAGTTGTTATTCGCAACATCTGCCGAAAGAGTAAACGAGAGGAAGCGATATCCATGAAACCTCTACAGGCTTGTCAGGTGAAAAAAGAGACAGCCAGTGAGAGTTAGAGCTCCTGAAACGTTTTCCGCGTACTAGTGGTACGTAGACATTATAGAGACGATTATCCGCTCTGTTGCTCTTCTCCTTTGACCAAGAACTAAACGTAATGGAAAAGGTGGTTACAGATAAAAGACAAGTGACACATTTTAACCAGATAGAAAAGAATTATATTCAGCATGGCTTTGACAAGACAAGAAAACTGGAAAAATGGAAAAAAAGAAGGGCACCTTCTAGAAGAGGGAGAGACATCGTTAGAGTTTTAGAAACGAAAAAATGTGTCAGCCATCAATAGTGTGTCCATGAGAGCACCAGGCAGTCGTGCTACATGCCATTTCACCGATTTCCATGAAACTTAGCCAGTTTAAAGGGTCTACCTCAAACTCAAACAGACAAACTGATTTCTGTTTTGATAATTTACGGGGGGATATAGACCATCCCCCAGTTTTTCTTGGTTTTCACTAAGGAGATCGCTTCAAAGTAGGTAAAATGTGTGAAGCTCTCACTGAGATGTTATTTAACTGAGAAATTTAACTCTCCTTAACTGAGAGTTTGCATAAATATAGTGACATCCTTAATGAATGTGCGACGCAAGCGACGGCTTGTCAATCAACAGAGGCAAATAAATGGCTGTGTTCTCAGACTTTTTGATTCATCCAAATATTTGATAACTTTGAGGTCAAATATCTCTCCTTACAAGAAAGCTACAACACTAATCTAAATTCCCCTTTATAAACCATCATTTCATCTCTGAAAACCATCAAAAAAATATTTGGGCACTGCCGTATTTTTGTCTTGGATGCCTTTTAAATGTGCGACTGTGACAAACTTCTATCTGGCTCCAAGCGGTAACTTGAGGAAATAAATCTTTATTTTATAGCTCGTTATACATTATGATTGATTGAGGAAGCTAAGAAATGTGAATAACTTTCGAGATCTCTTGTAGGAATGGAAAATTTAATGTGTGTAGGCGAAATGTTGATGGGAAAATCGTATTGTTTCTTTCATCTGTCGTTTATTACTTTGGATATTTGCCAAAATCAGAAAACATGGCTTTTGTACGGCACAGAACATTCATTAGTCTATAATTTGGTTGTTTATTATCATTACCTCACAGTTCACAATAAGAAAACTGTAAGCATCCACGATGCTTATTATGAATAAATGATCTCCTGCTCTTTGCCTGGCCTCGGGCAATTTCCCTTCCCATGCAATTGGCGTGCTACACATGCAACAGTTATTCTCTTGGAATGGGTGGGTTGGAATGGTTGGGTGGTACTTTTCGCTACATCTCTCACTTCCGAAACGTAGAGCACATGCTTTACACAATCGATATATATCGGCAGCAGTTTCGTTTCCACTCATTACCACGCCGACATTCGCGGAAATACAGCAAGAGCCGGGGAATTTATCGTTTCTAAACGGCAACAACAAAATAGACGTCGAACAGGTTAAGCTTGTGAAGCAAATAAATTACAACTTCTCTTTAAATTGAAATTAGATAGAGACACTCTTTGTGCAATGGTATAATTGACATTTCTTTTGACAGTTTAGAAGGCACAAATTGTGACAGTGATGTCTATTAAATTTCAAAGAAACACGAAAGTCGCATTACCGTCGTAATATAATTATTATCCTTTTTAGGACAGATGTTTCCTTTTAAGTAAAGGAGAGCACTCAGTTTTAAATCCTTCCGTGGAAAAAAAATCATAATATATTTTTTGACTGGAGCGCAAAAATTAGAAAAAAAAAATTTTGATGGAAAAATATTAGGTTTTCTTGAAAAATATGGTTATTTAATTTGACTGTTCTCATGATTAAGCTGCATTTTATTCAAAGATAATCAACTGCACTTCTGCAACACATCATGTGTGATTAGCGTACGCACCACACACCCTCACACATTTTTTTAGCGTACTTAGCATACACCTTAATTTAGATTTGCTAATGCTGTCTTTGCCGAAAGGAAAGGACCGCTCTTTCACTCTATGGAAAAATTATGTATGGAACACAGGAATGAGAACTAAGTCGGTAACTCTTCTCCTTTTAACCGATATTGCATGCGACATGTACTCGCTGGCAGCAGATTCTAACGACGAGAGGTAACGGTAATTTTTGTTTTTTTTCTTTACGAAGCTTGCCAGGCGCAAGGGTCCCTTGAGTCAGCATGAATTGTTGTCAATCAAAAACTGTCAAGTCTGGCAAGTACTCTGAAGGAAGTAGCAATTAAATGAGGTTGATATCCGTTTTTAATGCGTTCGCACCTGGGTTTTGTACGTCAGTTTTGTATCTTTTGTTTCAATTCAAAGAGATAGGTATGAGTGGAACACATAAGGATAGGAATTATTTAAAAAAACATTTGAGTAAGTGCAAGGCAGCGTTCGGAGATAACCAGGTGCATGTCAGTCAGATAAACAGAATTATCGAACCATTTATAATAATGGACTCATGACTGAACTCACTTGTATCATGGAAAGCTTTTATTCAGTTTATGCCATGCTGTCTCCTTAACGATTCTAAAACTTTGAAGAAAAGTGCTGATATCATAAGGAAGGAAAAAGCAGCTGGTGACGTATAGCCATTTGAAAACGTCAAAAAGAACAACGTCGAAATAAAATTCAAAGTGCTTTGTATCTCATAAGTGAAACAGCACGTTTCAACTTTTAGTTTAACTTCAAATGTTATTTCGTGTCTTTGTTTGCTTTGGTTGGTTAGTAAACTGAATGTTGAATGTATTAAATTTTGCAACCTCCGTACTTTAGTCTTGATGTGTCATAGATGGAAAGGGGTAGTTTTATGTTTTAATATCATCTCAATCATCATCATCATCGTCGTCGTCGTCGTCGTCCTCGTCGTCGTCGTCGCATTCATTAGATGATGAATCTGACATTTCTTTGTTCCTCGCTTGTTACTAATGTTCAGCATCTTTACTCAACGACCGTCGTCGAAGTGTAGTATGTGTTCGAGATATATTGTATTTATCTTAATTTATTTCAAACGTAAAAGGTACTTTAAAGCGTTTGGTGAATTGGCGTCCTTCTCGATGCATCAGAAGAGAATGAAAAGGAGAGAAGATTTTTCCAATGCTTGCATTGCATTTTTTGGGTAGTCTCGTGCGGCATGTCATTCTTTAGTTGAGACTTGCCTTCTGTTTAAGCGCAAGCCAACAAATGGTCTTGTTCTTTGATTGTTCTGCTTTAAAAGACCTGACAGAAATCGACTGTTGTTCAACGCATCTGCTCGAACATTTCTGATATAAATTCCGAAGAGCCATCTTGAAATCAGGTTTTAGAAAAGCATACAGCAGAGGATTTGCTAGCGAACCCGCCGCCATGGTGAAGAGCGAAACCGAGGATAAGATGTCTGGGACAACTTGAATCCGTTTTACAATAAAAGCTGTTGTCATGTAAAGGATTGGCAGCCAAGAGAACAAAAAGGCCAGAGACACAATGCAGTAGATTTTGGCTACCTTGGCATCTGCGGAAATGCGTCTGCGTTCGTTGATTTGTCTTGAGACAGATTTCAAGTTTTTCCTTAACGCTAAGCTTCTGCGCACTTGTCTGAAAATTCTAATGTAGGCTGCAGTTATGAAGATGTACGGAACGACGACACCAAGCAGCTCTAAGCACGCCAAGTAGACTCTATGAGCTGTTTTTGAATGATCTGCGCCCCAAATCAAAGGAACAGAGGCATATATGGCCGAAACTTGCCAAATAATCGCAATTCCTCTCTTGAAGAATTTGGGAACGAGATAAGAATATTCTAAAGGTTTCACTATAGCAATAAAACGATCGCAAGTAACTGCCGAAATGTTGATAACACCTGAAAGTAAAATCATTGCGGTGAAGTATCCTTCGACGACATAAGATGGTTTGAATAGCGTCATAGAAAAAAGCAGGCTGCCAGTCAGTAGGTCGGAGACAGCAAGGGACATAATCAACCAATTTGTGTATGTGCGAAGGGTTTTGTTGAAGCAAACCAGCGTGACAATAACAGCATTCGAGAGAACTATAAGAACTGACAGAGCACCGAGAATGATGGTTAGATAAATACCTTCAGTTGTTTTTTCCATGCGGTTTTTTTTCACTGATATGTTGAGCGAAAGTCGGTTTACACGGGTAGTTACTTTCACTTTGAATTAGATCTTTCTAAACTAAACGGAACCTTCGTGAAGTTGTACTAATGCGTCGTATTAGGTTATTGGTTCCGCTGTAAGCGGAATGAATCTCTAACAAACCGGTATTTTCGATTTTTTCATGTATGTTTTATTCTAAATTTTCTGTCAATGTATGACATTTAAATGGATTAAAAAGTAAACATCAGTAGCGCGCGAAATCGATCAGTTCAATTCAATCGTAGTTTTCTGGTCAGTTTATGGAAAAGTGTCGAAGTGAGAAATTACAAGACGAAAACGAAAGCTCTTTAATTAATTTGATTCAATGGCAGTTTCTACAAACAGCAAATACAATTAAAAACCTGGAGGGAGCCTTTTTAGGGTCTGCATCTAATTTAAACTATTGCATCGAATAAGAATAGAATTCATTTCAAAAAGGTTTTTGTTTTGTCTTACAGTTAGAAAACTTACTGGGACCGAACTCTTAGACTGGAAATATTAAATACAAATTTTCAAATTTTCGAGTGACTCATGAAGTACCAGGAGTTCTTCTGTCTCTTAATTACAAGTTCTTCACCACGCGTAATAAATATATGTTCTTGTCTTTTTATTCGAAAACTTTGACTTTGTCTTGGAAACTGGAAAATATAAGCACTGCTTTTGTGCCTTCATGAGCGGCATTGTCACTCGCAACTTCCCCAAAGAAGTGTTCGACTTTTATTTTTTGTGACAGCAAATGTTCTTGTTTGGGGAAATTGGGAACAGAGAAAAAAGGTTGTTCTTCTGTGCCGGATGTTGAATGACTTTTCGGAAGGCGCAGTTTATATGCAGGTGATAACTGGGAGCTCTTGAAATTTGTTTTCAGTGCATGTATCCATTTTAAAGCACCACACATCCTGTTCTGCGCATAACATCACCCAGAACTCCTTGCGAATACGCGCACATGCAAGCCGATAACAGGGTGGATTTTGATTTTTAGCTGTACGGTGATCTTTTGTTCTGAAGGACTAAAACTGCGACCTTGAAAACAACGAATCGACGAGCGATGTGAATTTACGCCGTTTGAAAATGTGTATTCTTTTTCCAATGTATTTATGTATTACGTTGTTAGATTTGCCATTTTACCCAGAGTTGCACGTGCGATATATTGCCCACTACATCAGAAAATTGTGGTAGGAAGACTTAAGGTGTAATATGCAAGACTATGTTTTTTTACAGTTGTGTTCGGAATTGTATACTTGTATACAAATATGTTCTTTAACCAATGTGTCAACTTAATTTTCTTTCAGGATCTAGTAAAGAAAGCAGAAATTGTGAAGGAAGTGCAGAGCATTGTCCTGAATAACGAGAAGTAAGTGGGTTTATTCAAACTTTGAATTAGGTATTATAGGCGGAATAGGTGGAAAAACAAACCATAGAAAGGGGGAAGTTAAGGAAGGCAGTCGGAAGGCAGTCGGAAGGCAGTCGGAAGGCAGTCGGAAGGCAGTCGGAAGGCAAGGAAGAATGAGCAACGTTGGAAGGTCGCAAGGAAGAAAAGAAAGTATGACGGGAATAACTGTGAGAGGAGGACAGGAGATTGGAATTGAATGACCTAGGAGTAATGGGGGGGATGTGGTGATGGACAAGGAAGGGGAGGGGAGGAGTGAAGAAGAAAGGGAGAGAAAGTGGGGGAATGTAAGTATGGATTGAGGGATGGAGGAATTAAGAACCAGAGGAAGGAAGTGGGAAGTGAAGACGGAGAGTGTGGAATGAAGGGATGGATGGATGATATGAAGGAGGATAAGAATGCGAAGTAAGGTAGGAGGGGAAGGAAGCGGAGTTTGGAAAGGAGCGATGGAAAAAAAGGAAAGGGGGGAGAGATGAAGAAGGGAGCGAGAAAGGTAATCAGGAATGTTTTGCCAGGGAAGAATGCCGCAGTGTGTATGGAGAAGGGGAGGAAGGTATTGAACAATGGGTAGAGAGGGAGGCAAGGATGGAGTCCAGGAGGAGAAGGAGAAAGAGAAAGAGAAGGAGAGAACCTTTGAACATTCGTTTTATAATATCTTTAGATCAAAGGATGACATAAGGGATTGTGGCGGTGTTCAGGCGCTTTGTCGCCTGCTGAGTCTAAGCAGAGATCCATTGGTTCTTCAGCATATTCTAGCGAGTCTTGCATCTCTTTCATTTGATAACGCAAGGTGAGTTTTTCTTACGAACGTAGTTGGGTTCGATCGTGATTTCGATCTAATGAAATATACGAAGTATCTTTCATTTTAGTAGTATCAACTTTTTCGAGGTGCTGTTCATTTTTAGTAACTGCGACGAAGTAACAAGCCAAGGTGGACTTCAAACAATGTGCTATTTGCTAGGAAAGGTACGATCACGGGTTTGAAGCTAGTTAAATCACTTTCCCAGTTAGCTAAGATTCTAAAGTTATTCAGTTATCTTATTCGAAGTGTATATCACCCTCTCTTGTAGTTAGTTACCGGTTAACACTCGCACAATTGCAGGAACGGTAACTTCGGTTGCAGCGGACTGAACTTAATTTTCTTCTTGTTTATGACAAAAATGTGAAACGCCACCATCTTGAAGCTTTGTTAAGGGAAAAAGAAAGGAAAGAAAACTATCTGGTTCGGTAGAAAACTGTTATTACGCTTTACTTTAAGACGTTCCGCATCATATCGTTGACAATCCGACCAAGGCAGACTATGTAAGCGAGCAAACACAGCCCTCTTAATTAGATGGTACTATCTCGAGAATTTATTAGCTTGTGACCAAAAGGAGGTTTCTCTTTCCGGCGTCAATATATCTTCTAGCAGATAGGTGACGAAGAAAAAGAAAGATATGATACGTGGAACGTTGTTTGATTTAAAACTAAACCCTTAGAGCTTGAATCATGGGAAATGTATGGCAGACAGTAAAGAGAATTGATTTAGTCCTGTTAGTTGTGAGATTCCAACGTGTCGTTTTTCTTCGTTCTCTGTTTTAATCTGTCTTGTCAAGACAAAAAACAGCGTTATCCAAGAAAGCATAGCTTGGGCTTTGAAGAACCTGGCAACCACAGAAAGGTAAATTTATTGCTTATTTTCATATATAAGAATGCTATTGGACAGTATCCGGAATCATGCGTTTTTTTTTAAGTGTTTTACTTGTTTCAATTGACGTTTTGAAACTTCTTCTATCCTTCAACAGAAATCAAAATGAGGCAAGAACTCGAGGAGGGCTCCAGGCTTTTTGTGAACTTTTAAGAACCACCATGGATGACAAAGTTAGTTTGCTTTCTTTTGGCTCCTCGCGAGCAGTGCTCTACTTTTCTTTGCGCTAGCGTTGTTTAAAGACATTCGCACGATTTGAGTGGTGTGGAGTGAAAAATGATGACCGGTCACGAAACCAGTCATATTATAGGATTTTTTTCAATTCTGCCCGCTCACGTGCAGTGAAATAAAAACGTTACATGTATGTCGTGTTATTTTTCTTCTTAAAGAGATTGGAGCGGGCAGACTGGGGATTCAAAATTCCTGACCTCCTCCCCGAACATGATGCGATGAGACTTCGATTTCAAGTCTATGTCACTCTTTGGCATTTCGGTGGACATGGCGGAAAATTTAGCGTTTTTTCCTTTACCTGTTATGACTGTTTTGTGAGTGTTACTTTGGAAAGGAGTCATAAAAGGGATAGCAGGAATTGTTCTCCAAAACGAATTGATAAAGGAAAGAGCAAAATGGTTTGTAATATGGGTTGGGGAAAGGAATTGGAAGGGCTCGTAAATAACCTGGGTTTTGAGAATACGTGCTGCCATTTTCCTGGCAGGTCTTGGAGAGAGTGACGTGGGCTATTGGATCTCTTGTAGATGACAACACCAGGTAAAAAAGTTTTCCAACCATTGATTTAAGTTGATGAATGAAAGATACCAGTCCTCATGTTATTGGTGTGTCCTTGCCTTTTTTGATAGCTCATTGTACAGAATGCCTGAACATTATTAGTTATTCATGAGCACTAAAGCGGGAAATTTTGAATGCAAACGCGCCTTGAAAGACCAAAATAAGAGAAGAAAGGGCCAAAACAAGCGATCCACGAAGACCAACTTTTAGAAGCTTTGCTGCTAATATTACAGATCGATAATTTTTCGCCACAGCAATTAAATGTCTCTAGAACAATAAACATTCTTCGCGATAAATAATTTGATGGGTGGGGGGGAGAGATTGCGCTATCGATTGTCTTTTTATGCGGTCCTTGCAATGTATCTTCTTACTTTTCTGAGAATGTTTTCCGCCATATAGGTTGTGGAGATTTCACACATCTAGGTCTTTTGAATTCAAGGTAATCGTGACACAAATTGACAACGAATTTTTCAAATTTCAAATACACGCACAGCAAAATGACATGAGCAATACCTGCCTCATCTTATAGATAACTTTAATGGTTGTTATTTGTTCCACAGTGATTGTCAATGATGGTAAGATATTTTGCGTTTCCACAGAAACTGTCAAGCCGTGCGGGATTGTGGTGGCCTGAAAACAATGTGTGAATTGGTCTCACTGACTTACAGCGAAAATGTTTTAGAGCGCACAATGTGGGCGCTAGGAAACTTAGCTATCGACAATAAGTAAGTCGATCCTTTTTTTTCTTGTTTTATTGTTTGATAACTCAGTCTTAATTGATTGCTGATAGTAATACAGGGTTAGATTGGTTCAAACTCTCCTTTGTAGTATAATTGGTCGTGAAATCTCGCGCCAACGTCAACCAATCAGATGCAAAGGAAAACGAGTCGAGTGCTCGTCACCCGCGTTTTCCCGCTTTTCAGTTAGTTAGGTTGCTTTTACATTGATTCCTCGTTTGCATTTCGTGGTAGGTGTTTACCATTGTTCTCTCTGGCCATTTATGTCTATCGAAATGCGCTTAATTTTCAATCATGAAAATGGAACGCAATGCTAAGGTTCAATGATGCCAGATGCTCTGTTTATTTCTTATTTTTCTCAATGCCATCGTTATTGTTTATTTTTTATCTATTTGTTTTTGTTGTCTTATTTAGGAATCGCAATTTCATTCGACAATATGGAGGCCTTGAGAACATTTGCAAAAAGCTGCAAGAATCAACCTCACAGCAGGTGGGATCATAAATATGAGCAGAGGGACCAAACATTGAAATGAGTACTGCTATGCAGACATGTTGGCTTTGGTCAAAATTGAAAATTTCCTCAGATAAATTTGTCTGCGTATATGTCCCTTCTGTATTCTCGGAGCTCATAGTTTTCATGTAAACTTCGCCTCGGCAGTGTTAGACCACTCTCAGCAGTATTAAGCCAATCACGCAAAGTTAACAGCTCTCCCTCTGAACAAAAGGTCATTGTAAACTTTTTTCTTACCAGATCATAAAGCAAGGTGCCCTGACGCTTAAAACTCTGGCGAGTAGTAATCAACACAATAAGGATGTTATGGTCAGACTGGGGATGATTGGTACACTTCGAAGGTTTGTAACGCAGTGTTCTCACTGGGGGACTCAGCTTCTTCCTTGCTCCACGTTCTTGACAATGTACTTTTCAACAATTTTGTGTCTTTTCTTTTTAGTTTAATGACAAATGAGCAGCAGAGTTTAGGTATCATTCCTCGCCGTGTGTGTGGCGATCTACTGCAGCGTCTTCTTGGCTCAGCAGCTGGAAACATCCATACAACAAGCTCAACCGCTACAGCACCTGACGATAGAACCGAAGAATGTGCGATCGCTTCTGGCATAATCGTAAAGCAAGAACCTGAGACGAGATCAGTCAATGGTCTGGTGCAGAATGGTGATATTGACAGTGAAGATGACGATGACTTACCCCCTCTGGGTGGGGAGGACAGTGACGAGAAAAATGAGAGGATTCCGTCTGCGATGATCACACCAGCCCCAAATACTTCTGAGAACCTCTCCCCGAGGGAAAATTTCTCTCGGTCGGAGACGCAAGGAATTGCTGCAGCTAGGTCTACTGTAAGCGTTAGAAATCACGTTGGGCCTCGTGCAGAAGAGAATGATTTAGACCCATTTAGGTGAGCTGGTTTTAAAAATTGTAATTGTATGAAGACTGTTTTTGAATGAGAACAAAGCTTTGGACGTCGGGATTGAAGAATCCATGTTTGGGCTGGGGTCTCCAGTTACCGACTTTCTGAACCTTCCCCCCCTCTTTAGTGAGCACCGCTCCCCCCTTCCCATCCCCTGGGAAAAAACTGTAACATTAAAACACTACTGGCAATCAATCAAAATATCAATGCTGTAGCCATGGTTAGACCGCAGTAATGTTCTTCACTTGGGTTGGGTAGCGTGTCAGTTCCAAATTTTTTTACAATTTCAAGCATGTACCAGTTTCCGTTTGAGACATTGGTAGGTTTAATGAACAGATAAATACAAATTGCATGCGTTTGCATTTAGGCGTGAGTGGAAACCTGGAGGAGTAATACACCCCGGAGGCTTATTAAATGTATTGTGTGTGATGTTTTAGGACATACTGAATTTTGTTTCAATATTATGTTCAGCGTCAACTGTTTCGTTTTCGGTCGCGGAGGACACACAGTCTGTAAAAGGTGGCCCTTATCCTACAATCAGTTGTCACATAATTTTTGAAGAGTCCAATTTATGTGTAGAGTAACACTTCTGTTTCCTACAATCAGTTGTCACATCATGTTTGAAGAGTCCTATCTATGTGTAGAATAACACTCTTGTTTTTATCACGCTAGAAATTACTGACAAGACCTCCCTTCCTCTATTCAATGTTGCCTGTATGAAGCTAACGGTTCATGGAATCACGACACAACATTTTTATGAAGGGGAGGGGGAGGGGGCGGCGAATAGGTAAACTTAACTAGGGCAAAAGAGACAAAATTGAAGTAAGAGGGTCTTGAAAAGGTCAATGTGTCAGCAATTTTGTCGCCAATTGTAGGTCTAGACCATCGCAATGTTCACATCCACCCCATGAAAATAACTTGGTATTGGCAGATAAACAAGGTAACCTGACCGATCTTGGAGTATGGGAAGGGGAAAAACTTCTGATTGTTCTAACATCTCACACGTGGGTAGGAAAACTGCTCTTAACTCGCTTAAATATACATAAGTAAGAATCCTTTTAACAATTTGAAATTAGTATTTTCTTGCCCCTATTTAAAACCATGATGATTTATATATTTTCCAGCGTGCACCCGAAAACAGTGTGGTCACAAACGAGAGAACTGGTGCGAGTTTGTGTGAAGCTGCGTGGAGTGGAGAGACAGCAGACCGAGATAACTGCGAGCAGGCTCAAGTTTAGGTAAGTTTGGCAGCATTTGAGTTTCTTCATTCAAAATCATCTCCCTCGAAGATGACTCTTCGATTAGTCCACCTTAAGCAAATAGTCACGAAAGACAAGGAACGTCTTTGAAGAGAGAATTTTATAATTGGGTCAAAACTACATTTTCACAGGTTGTTTTTTTACTGTAATATTCGAATCCTCAGGGGACATTCTAATATTGTTATGTCGCGCACATATCCCAACTTACCATGCACACTTGTTGATCCCAGCAATATGCAGTTCGCCTGTCATATGCGAACTTAGTAAATGACCAAGCATGCTTCCGAGTATTTTTGAATGCAAGAGTGGAGCATTCCACCGTGAATTCCGACGTTCTGAGCAGGGTTTAACGAAAGCCGATTACAGGCGATCTACCGCCGCTCAAACGACTTCTCATCGCCGTGTGTTTCAGTAACTTACGAGAAGGTTCTCGTGTGTGGGTTTCTCCTTAGGGGGCAGCCGCCTGTTACACCATCGGCCGCCGTTTATGGAAAAGGTTCTTGAAACCCGTAGGAGGTTCGACCCCCACACGAGGTGGTGACAAATGGGAAATTTTTTTAATAAACAAACTCAAAGTTTTCCCACTTCGTAACCCTGTGATAATGCATTTTGGTTGTGTCTTTGTATGTTTTTGTTGTGATATGATTAATGTTTTCTTTCACTAGTACACAGCTAAGACACGTAGTTTATGAACTGGACATGGAGCTATTAGAGGAGATTGATCCTGAGGTAGGTCTGAGGTCTTTTCGTTGACAGTCTCTCTGTTTTCAATTTGCGGTGTTGTTAATTCTGTTCTCTCGCTGGATGATTGCAGCAAAGTACTGTAATTGTCAAGGGCTCGGAGGTACAAATTTTACTCAAGAAAAGAAACCATGCCGTGTGGACGCGGTTGTTGAAGAGCAAAGAAAAGGTAACATATACAGTGGAACATGTAGTTTGTTCTTAGTCAACATGGATTGACCCTCATAGTTTCTCTTCTTTCTTTCTGTTCGTTTATTGACTTGCTTTTTGTTTGTTTGATTTCTTTCAGTTGCCTTACGTCTCCATTGACTTTGATCGTTGGGAAGTATGGTCGTCATCGGAGGAGGACGAAACCGAAGATGATGTAAACTTCCGAGCAGCGCCGACGAACCCGGAAAATTCCCATCACACCTCAGAGGATAGTAGAGAAGGAAGGAAACTGGTATTATTGCCTGAAATGCTTGTCAGTGGTTCGGAGTCCGATACTGATGAAACCTTGCCATCTGATGTGGATTGCTTAAAATTCTATTAGCCAAAACACTGAGAAAAAATGTGTTATCGTTAGAATGTGACAGTTTTTTGACAGGTGATCAACTCTTTCAAGAAATGGATTAGTAAAGAACGTCACATGACTAGTCACTAGTATTTGTTATGTTACATGAAAGAAAGTCAAGTTAAATATTGAAATCGAAGTGAAAGTTTTCTTTATTTAGATAGCATTATTTACGGTAATTTATTACATTGTTTTTACATTTTCTAACATCGAATAAAGCTCTAATTTGATGGTAACTTTTGGTAGAGTTATTGCCCTGTTTAGCTGTACAGTATGTTGAAGTGTCGTTAAAATTAAACTAAAATAGTTTAAACGGCCATTTAGAACAAATCAAGAAACCAAAGAGCCAATGAGAAGCTAAGGCAGATATATGTAAGCAAACGTAAGTACATGCGCAGACGAACGCGGCATTAAGGAGTCGTGCATGTTCTAATTTCAATCAATCACCCCCGGGTTCCATGCGGTGGATAAAATAGATTCTCGCGCTCTGATTAGTCGTGGTTTGCGTCTCGCGAGGTGATTGTAGCAGGGGTGATAAAATGGCTGCCTTGCATTATGTCGACAAAGTTACCGAAGAAGTGATAAACGCGATAGGAGAAATTTAATTTCTAAGAGCACAGAATCCAACAGGTTTTGTGGAACACTTTTCAAAAGTAAGAATTTTTTGCTGATTAGATTGATTATGGAAACTGGTTGTTTATCTCGATACGAGTGATCAAAACTTATGTAACATATATGCACACTGCCTTCTTTATTTACACATAGTTTTAACATAAAGGAGTTTACTAAAGAATCCCGCGAAAGTTTTTGTGCAATTATACTAAGACAATCATTCACATGAGGCTCAGTGAATATGAACTCCATATCCGAAAGTTCAGCCTATAATACGCCGGGATATTTAGCGAGTTGCGTTAGAAAACGTTCGAAGAAATAACAAACGAATGTTTCAGACATTCGAAACCAATTGTTTGAGAGAAGAATGTCAAGGTTTACTTATTACTCGTTCTGCGAATCAAAACTGTGACAGTTAACGAGTTTTTTGATTCCCTCCCTTATGACTGAATTTCCTTTGTAGTACAACACAGGCATTGTTGTGCTTGCGGAGAGCAGCCAGAGTACACAACTGGATGGCAATTACAATCGCGGAGAAGCAAATGATGTATCCGCCTTCAAATGTCTCAACAGCCCTCCTAGGAAACAACTTCACCTGCCTCAGAACAACTAAAAAAGTGGACGTCACCCACACCGCAAAAGAAGCAGTAATAGCGTATTGCATCTTCATGGCAGCTTTGTACCACCATGGTTTAATGACGGCTAAATATCTATCCACACTCATGACTCGAAGGGTTCCCACCATAGCAAAAAGGCATAAAAAGAAAGAAACCACCATGACAGGCGAGTCCCAATCACTGCGATTGAAACACGCTTCACCGGCGATCAGCTCCGTAATTCTGAATTTAATGTACAACGGTGTTACTACCCCACCCCACAGAAAGTCAGTCAATGTCAAGCTGCAAAGATACAGAAACCCTGGGCGGAATCGAAGTCCACCCCTCAGAATTGTGACCAGGACCAACCCGTTTGACAGGAAACACCACAAACCTAACATGGTTGTGGCAAAGGTAAGCACCAAGCTGGAGTAATAACTAAATTGGGATTGGACAGAGCGTGGAAATTCAGAGATGAAGCACGGCCGCCCCTCTTGCAACACTTCGTACTTTGTGTCATTTGTAGTCAAGTTTGGCTCCATGTTAGCTTGCTTAATCCTAAAAAATAGAAAAGAAATGGTTCTTACATATCCACCCTAAATTGAAGTAAGTTTGACGTTTTAGATGTACCTAAACATTTTATCTTAGGTATGCATAGTCTTGAGCTTCCTACATGTGTTAAGATAATTTATGGCTATCTGAGATTGGATATGAAAACCAATTTTAGTGGACACAATTTTAAACTGAATGAACCACGGGCTACTTGTTTGACTGATAGGTAATCGAGGACTAAAATACGGTAGTTCGGAAAATTATCTCATCGTTGAAAATGTTTTATTGTGCTTCTCATTGACTTGTGAAGGTAAACACAAAAGGTAAACGCAAATGGTTTTCACCGTTTTAATTGAACTGAATGAACCACGGACTACTTGTTTAACGCCAGGGACTGATAGGTAATCGAGAACTGAAATACGGTAGTTCGGAAAATTATCTCATCGTTGAAAATGTTTTATTGTGCTTCACATTGACTTGTGAAGGTAAACACAAAAGGTAAACGCAAATGGTTTTCACCGTTTTAATTTGCTTGTTTTCGTAGACAAAAATACAAGACTAATGACCATTTCCTTGGAACGTTCCGAATGGCAAAATACCGACTAATTAAGAAACAATCAGAAGGCTCGGATCTACCTCGGGACTTCCTTGCCATATAATAATGAACGATAATTACTTGGAGTTACATTGTGTAGAAGTCAAGCTCATGAAAAATCATTTTCAAATTCAAAATTCCTGGTAAAGTTAAATTAATAGACCTTTTCTTGCTAACTGTACGGATCAAGCATCTTGGCTGGTAAAAACAGAGACAGTATCTACTGTGTAGTTTGCTGTTGATAGTAAAAGGGCTCCGTTTGTCTTTGAAATTTCACGCTCTTGGTACATGTGAATGCCGCTATCATGCTATATTGTGCCCCTAGCTAACCTTTAAATCCCGCTTTTCATTTAACTAATTTATTCTTGTTTCTCGTCACCATGTTCCCATCAATAGCTTAGCTCCATTTTCTGCATATAAACACACACCAGCCACAATTCCTCCATTTGTTCTGACCTCAAAACGTCAACTTCGAAACTCTTCATGGTGGCCAATTTACGTTATCAACTCAGTTGATAACACCAAATATCCCTGTTATACTCTCCCACTGACACAGCATCACAGAAACTGACCCCCTTTAGTCATATATAATCTTATCTGATATGTGATCTTTATATTGTTGTGAATTTCGCTTTGTATTTTCTTTCCAGCCGCAGTTTCTTATCCTTGCTTCAACATGGGGAGCTGTTGTTGATATCTTCAGGCAATGCAAGCTCATTCTAGCTAAAACCAGGAACATTAGTGTGCAGCTGATATTTGCTGCTGGTGCAGAAGAGAATCGTATCATATCACTAGTGAATGGCTGTGAGATCCTGATTGCTACACCACCTTGCTTCCTTCGAATGCTCAGGAAATGTTATATATCCCTTGATCGACTCTGTCACTTGGTATCTGATGACGCGGACATAGTGGTGGAGGACTTCACATCTGAGATCAAATGCATCATGAGACACTACGCCAACCTATTGAAATCCCAAACCTGTCGTTCAGCACCACGCCAGGCAGTTGTCATGGCTTCGTCTTGGAGTGTGGGTATAGCATCACTGGTGAAGGCATATCTTGCGAATCCTGTGGTGTTGATTCCTGAATGACTGAAGCAGCTATCTACAGGGGTGTGCAACAAATTGTAACACTTTGCTCCGAGAGCCAGAGGGATGTGGAACTTCTTGGTAAGGGTAAATTCATAGTGTTCTCGATACGATTTTAAGCACATATAAGCTTGCCTAACCGGAATTAGATAACAAATGACGAAGATATAAACAGCAAGTGAAGTCAAAACATATAGTTTACAAGCAGCTGTCTTGTGGAAAGTGGGAATGATCAAACCTTTTGTCTGTTTCTACATGTATTTAGAACCTTGGAAATATCTCGCAAGTTTTCTATTTTTTCATTTCATTTCCGTTTTTGTGTAAGGATTTAAATCTTTCGTTAACGTTTTCTTTCCCATGATAGGTTACCTGGAATCGTTTATTAGCACAAAAGTCATTTGTGTTTTCACATCTACGGCAGCGGAAGCAGAGAGCGTAGGACAAATCCTGAATGCAAACTGTTATTTTGTTCTTGTGGCACACAATTTTCTACCACCTCATGAACTTGACAATATTCAGAGACAGTGGAACACTCCGCACACCACTGATACCATGCCAGTTCTAGGTATGCCATAATGTCTTCAAAATTCTCAATGGAAAGGCCGTCCCACAGAATCTTATGTTTCCCATAAGTTCCCCTTGTGTTAGCATGAACAGTGAATTTTACAGGGATCAACCAACCAATAACATGCCACTAACCCACAGGGACAATCATAGCTTCATTTTCTTACTTTGTGAATTTGATTTTCTGAAGGAGCATGGCTTTGTCTGTTATTTTTGTGACTGATGGCCGAAATATGTATCACGCTCCTTCCATACGTCATCTTGTACAGAGGTCAGGTCAGGAAGTTCCACAACTACTTGATTGAATGGCCGACCAACGTGGTTTAGGTTAGGCCTCGTGTAAATAACCGGCCCACAGTCAGTAAAAAACTATCTGGTCATTGTGTTGTGTTTTTTAAGCCTGAAATACTCGGGCTCACGCATGGGCTTTAGAACCTCGAAGACGACTTTTTGACTGAATTCAAACAACCCCGAGTTATAAACTCAGGATCCTTTGGTCGAGAGGAAATATCTTCCCAACATCAATGTTACGACCAATGCTTTGAATGTTAGGGTAGAACTGTTGAGGGAAAAACGTGCAGCGGAAAACAAACAGGTAAGAGGTTTCTCCGCTTTAACGCTTGTCTGAAAAGTAGTAGGGAATTTATTATTTTGATACAATATTCCATCCAGAGTAGCCTACGTCGGACAGATGAGAAAACGCGACCCTCTCTCCTTGACAGTTGAATTAACTGTCCTCTCTAATCCGGATAAATTGTCGACTGGTCATACTGGCCCAGTTTGAAAACTTTAATTTTTCTTCAACGCTTAGACCTAACTTACACAGTACTGCAAACCGAAAACAGAGCTTTCTGAAAACGTGAACTTGACTACTCTTTGTATTTTGAGACATTTCAGTTAGGCCCTTCTTTTGCGCACGCTCAAATGCACTCTAGTGATATATTGTTGTGATTGTTGCGCTTTCAACTTTTCCCGACGAGACATGAACGAACCACATTTTATCTGTTGCAATTTATCAGAATTGAAGTTTTTATTTCCATAACTCTTTTTAAAGCACGTGCGCTTGCTGAGAAACCTTTGTGAGGGGTTCATTGTTTTACAGCCTTTAGAAGGAAGACAAACTAGTCACTAGTTTGTCTTCCTTCTAAAGAAAGGCTTTCGAATGTCAGGTAAGGATTAATCCTTCCCTGTTACTTAAGCGTTGAAACATGAAAACGCAGGACCGCCATAGCCTCTTCCCACACTCAGTTTTGTTTTTTTTTTTTTCCAGCTGTTTATCCAATCAAATTTCCCATGTAAACTCTCGCTTTGGACGAAGCTGATGGCTCTGCTAATAAAAATGTGGGAGATTTTTTTGTTGTTGTTCTTGTTGTTTTTTCTTTTTGCAATGATTCGAATTGATATTGTGTCTGAACAGTGCCTCAATAATGAAAAGATTGAATGAAATAATGCTGAGTAGAATATTGCGAGTCAGTTTGTAAACATGCAGGCTTTTTAGAGGAGAGGGACAACCCTCTAGTGAAAGCTAATCCACATTTTATCATATCTTGCCATATTCTACAATCTTTTATACCGATAATAATAAGTAATATTATATCGGCGTTCAGTGAGTATCAGGGTTAAATGATTTTGTTTTATGAGTTTCAACCCTTCTATTACTTCGATAATTATTGCTGATTTTCGTTACTGATTAATTCAAGAATTCTCGTGCAATTCATTATGTTGTGTCTTCATATTTCATCGTATTTTTGTCTGAAATAAATCAGATTATCACATAAACTGCGGTGTTATACAGGGATTTCCGGCCCTGAGAAAAGCCGTAACAACACACGTGAAAAAACATCGTATTTTTTCACGTGTGTTGATATAGCTAATCAGCTGCTGACAAGTCACTCGCCTTTGGCGCCACTCGGTCAGGTTGATGAATGAACGGCAAAGCCTTCACGATTCTAAATACAAGTTGTTTGTCGGAGCTTTCTCGAACTATGGCGGCTGAAACACTAAAAAATCCATATCGTTGACAGACGGTGAATTTCAAACTTTCCCAGAAGGCAAAGAAAACCAATATACTAAAAGAAAAACCGAAAGTTATGTATTCAGTGACTTTGGTGTTAGCATTTCTCTCGGCTGAGAATGAAAATCGAAAACTGGAAAATTTGCCACAGGCCGATTTTGGCCGTTTACCTGAAAGACTTCTTCTGTCGGTAGGGACAATGTCAATAAATGAGAATTTTGTAAATTGAAAATTACGACCATTGTTGTTTTTACAATTATGATTCAACGCATTTTTCCATCTTAAGAGTTAGCGCCAACGCACTCTACAACTGTTATTCGGGGATTGTCGATTCATTTATTTTCATTCAATAATGAAGTCGGCTTTTCTTCTCAGGAAAGGGCTATTGTGTTTATATGATAAACAAAATAATACATGGAATACATCTCGAGTTCAACTCGACGTCTCACTCGTTCGCTGCGCTCACTCGTGAGCTATCGAGTTAAAACTCGAAAAAGAAATTGCATATCTACGCGCGCCCATGTATTATTCTTTATTACTCTGAGATTGTCATCAGTTATGCTCCTTGGGACACTTTTTTTTGCCTTATCGAAGTATTTTTCTCCATCATCAACCGATAATTATCTTCAACGTGTTGTTTTATTCATGAGAGAGGAAGCGCTTCGAATTTTATTTAGACTTGTCATTTTTTCACAACGTTTTCCAAAGACCATAGGCCACCAGCTGCTTCTTCGTTCCTTACAATATCGGAAGTTCTTTTAAGATATAAAAACGTTATGCTTGGAAAGATTTTGACAACATGGCACAAACTAAATGAAAACCTTTTCGAACTATTTTTCTCCATCATCAACCGATAATCATCTTTGACGTGTTGTTTTATTTATGAGATAGAAAGATAGAAAGATAGAAAGCGCCTCGAATTTTATTTAGACTTAATTTTTTGCGCATCGTTTTTCAAAGGTCATACATCATCAGGTACGTTTTCGTTCTTCTGAGGTATATAAAACGTTATGCATTAAAATATTTTGACAACATAGCACAAACTGAATAGAAACCTTTTGATATAGGTGAGTTCAGCTATGAGTTCATTGCTATCAATGGACTGATAATTCTTCCGTCTTGGCTGACATGCACCTGATCATCTCGAAACCTTCCCGTGCTCCAGTGTTTATCATCTGTGATGAGTCGTTACTCGTTTTTATGAGATTAGTGCTAGCTGGTGTTTTGCATATACATAATCGTCCCTGGCAAGGTGTTCGTGTCTCCCTTGAATGTACCATACCTAATGTTATTTGAAAATTTGCGAGCTGCTTCCTTACCTTTATCCATCGCGCTTCCTAACCTTTTAAAACGTTGAAGAAATTTGATTACAAGAAACTAAGTAGACTGTGAATCGTTCACGTCTTGGTCGAGGTATCCATGTGCCACACTCATACGACTCGCACTCGCTATTAATTGAAGGTTGTTGAGGGGGCTCTTCACGGCGGTTTGTGTGTCTTCTGTTTTCACCTGGCAAACCCGTTTAGTTGTCTTGGACATCGCTTCCGTTCGATTGCTATTTCGACAGATATTTCGTGTTGCAACCCTGAAATCCGGTTTGAGGAAGCCATACACGAAGGGATTTACCAATGAGGCAATGGCTATTGTATATAGTGAAATTATCGGCAAGACAGTGGGAACGATGTCGAACCGACCAAAAACACGGAGGGCGGTTGTCATATAAATGATCGGCATCCACGAGATTAGGAAGGCCACAGAGATGATGAAGAAAAGTTTCGCTACTTGAGCATCTGAGGAGATTTGTCTGCGTCTGTTGATCTGTTTCATTGTGCAATCCAATTTATTCCCCAATGCTAAGCCTTGCCTCACTGCCTTAAAAATCCTAATATAGGCGATTGTCATGAAGATGTACGGAGTGATCACGCCAACGAATTCCAGGCAAACAAGGTACACCAAGTGAATTGTTTTTGAACGTTCCGTTCTCCAAAATAATGGTAGTAAGCAGTATATGGTTGGAAATAACCATACAGCGATTATGGTTTTTTTGAATATCTCAAGTATGCGGTAAGTGTAGTGTAGAGGTTTAGTAATGGCAACGTATCGATCGTAAGTGAGTGCGCATATGTTAGCAACACCCCAGAGCAAGATCATAGTTAACAAATAATCTACCACGATGTGTGCTAGCCCTATGACTAGCATGGGAAATAAAATGCCTCCTGTAAGTATGTCGGACACAGCAAGTGAAACAGTCAGCCAGTTTGTGTATGTTCGTGGGACTCTTTTCAAGCCAACTAAACTAACAACGAAGAGGTTCGCGGCAACAATGAGAACGGATAACACACCAAGGGAAACTTTTATGTAGAGATCCTCCAAAATAACGGCAATAAGCTGTATATGGTTGGAAATAACCATACAGTGATAATGGTCTTTTTGAATATCTCAGGTATGCGGTACGTGTAGTGCAGAGGCTTGATAATGGCAACGTATCGATCGTAAGTGAGTGCGCATATGTTAGTAACACCCCAGAGCAAGATCATACTTGACAAATAGCCTGCAACGGCGTGTGTTGGCCGCATGATCAGCATGGGAAACAAAATGCCTCCTGTAAGTACGTCGGACACAGCAAGTGAAACAGCCAGCCAGTTTGTGTATGTTCGTGGGACTCTGTTTAAGCAAACGAAACTAATAACGAAGAGGTTCGCGGCAACGATGAGAACGGATAACACACCAAGGGAAACTTTTATGTAGAGATCCATCCTTGATTCTGTTGTGTTTCTTTGAACTTGATATCCTTGGATATCCTACAGAAGGCCTCTTTTCTTCTGCTGGTTCCTCTAACTTCCCTGGCTTAACAATAGTACCAACATGTGGTATACACAGCCACATTTAGGTTAAGTTGAAATACACGAAAAGTTCTCCGTAGCCCAATTGGTCAAAGGTAGATAATCTGACAGAAATGACACGACTTGTCAACTTCTGATTAGTTTTTGTCGTGTGACGTTGCTTCTGTGACACAAATTATTTCACTTACGGTGTCAATTGCTTAGGAAACGGCTAATATTCCTTTTAATCTTGTCACCTTAATCAAAAGCTGCGCTTAACACCTGTATCCAGAACGCATTAGCCAGCGCGGAAATTGTTCTCCACGGTTTTAGCAGCAAGAATTCTTGTCAGAGAATAAACAGACTTGATTGATACCATGTCGAGACATTGCTATCAATTGATTGTAATCTAAGTAAAAAATTGGCATTGTAAGAGATGGAGACAGAATAGAAAGAGATTGTTGAAGCGAAACGACTGCACGAGTGAAAAAGAAACAAAATCAAGTGAAAGGTACAGTCCCCTCATGTGTTTGAACACCAGCGCCGGGATAATTCCCGTACAATTCTTGAGACTTCAAATACATCCTGAAAGGAAGATAGTTCTATGTATTCATAAAAACCCTAAGTTAAGAATAATCCTCATCGTGTTCCATGCATACCTTCCCTTAAAACTGAATCTAAAGATAGACAAACAAACACAAAGCAGGGGTTTCACATTCAACATCACTGGATCGATCATTTTCTTTGAATTAATTACCAGACCTGACAGTTTTTTTTGTTAAATAAAATTTAGGCTGATCCGAGGGAGAACCGCTGATCACTTTCGTCGTTAGAATCTGCTGCCGGAAAGAACAAGTCTATGCAATATTGGTTGTATGGTGTCTGTAACTTCGGAGCGTTCCGTTTTTTTGTAAAGTGGAAAAAGCGGTCCTTTTCCTAGCGCCAGGATAGCATTTCTTTGGCTTAAATGTTGGTGTCAAATGCGGCGGAGTATTTTTAATAGGAACCTTAAATAGTCATGCATCAGCCAGAAAGGGTATTTAAAACCCAGGGAGGACAACGTGGTTTGTGCGCTTGAAAAAAGTAACTCTATGGGTAGGCGCTGTCGCTACGATGTTGGAACAAAGCTTTCCCGGTATGCATTCAGAAAATTGGTGTCACTCAAACAATACCCAACTGCTATCAACTCATGTTTGTCTTTAAATTCATTTAAGGGCCCTCGCCAGGAACTTAAGAGAATAGCTGACTGTGGCTCGACGTTTTTTTTTTTTGCTCTTATTTGACTAAATTTGGAAGGTTGATTTAGAATGATAGTGCAAACCAAATTGATTTGTCAGACACGTAACCTAAACAAAAAATGAACGGTTCCCCGAAGCTTAGAGTATTGTCTGTAGTTTGAGGTAATCTGTCAATCACAACACGCGTGCATTTTTCCATTACATGAAAATTAAAATAAAAGTCGAACAAAAATCGTGTCCTTTCAACCAGTCAAGGAAAATTGTGTTTCTTTCGATTCAAGACATAAAGAGGCAGTACAAAATTTTGCAAGTTGGGAACGGTTGGTTTTTTCATCCGCACCGAAAACAGAACATTATGGAGGTTTGAACGTTAAATTATTGGAACTAACAATCGTAATTAACATCAACACACCGAAATGGTTTCCTCAGTTTTTTGCAACAAGGTTTTTTCTATGCATGCGAGAGTAACAAAGTTCTGCCAACGTTTTAACATTATGACAACAGTGAAAGTGTGAAAACCTAAGCAGAAGTTACTGTTTGCAAAGCAACCCGACACGAGTAAAGAGGCAGTACAAAATTTTGCAAGTTAGGAACGGTTGGTTTTTTCATCCGCACCGAAAACAGAACATTATGGAGGTTTGAACGTTAAATTACTGGAATTAACAATCGTAATTGACATCAACACACCGAAATGGTGAAAAGTTCAAGTTTTTTGCAACAAGGTTTTTTCGATGCATGCGAGAGTAACAAAGTTCTGCCATAACAATTATTATGTTTGTTATGTAACATTATGACAACAGTAAAAGTGTGAAAACCTAAGCAGAAATTACTGTTTGCAAAGCAACCCGAAATAACTACGCCGTTGTGTCGAATTAAATTTCGACTGATGGAATTAAGTCCCATCCCATTTGACCATCTGACCTTTGAAAAAATTTGGCTTGAAAATATCAATTAGGTGTGTAGTATGTTTTGATATTACCTTGAGCACAAGGCTAATATCACCATATTAAATTCTAATTAGCGTTCAGCTGTACAAATCCGCATAACAACATGCCGGAATTAGCTGAGAAGATGTACGTGGTAGTAAGCCTTGGTGCACTTCAGTTCTCATTGTGGTCTCAAACGTGTCTGTCTATTCGTTGGTTTGCTTCAACAGAAGATTACGGACAAACACTAACTGGTTTACCTTGTCGCTTGCTGCTTCTGACATCCTAACAGGAGCCGTCAGTTTTAATACCTCTGACACTCTTCAAACCCGAATCGGTGGTCGTTGCGTATTTGAGTAGTTTGATATTACTCTGGGGTGTTGGTAACATCTGCGCACTCACTTACGATCGCTTCGTTGCTGCAATGATGCCTCTGAAGTATCCTTGTCGCATACCTAAGATATTCAAAAGAACTTTAGTTGCTGTGTGGTTAATCCTAACAATTATCAGCTTACTTCCTCTGTTCTGGGCAACAGATTGTGCATCAATATTCCACAAGTGGTACATTGCGTGCTTGGAGGTGTTTGGCGTCGTCATTCCGTACATCTTCATAAGCGTCGCTTATATTCGGATTTTTAAGCAATTGCGGCACAGTTTGGCGTTGAGGAAAAAATTTGTATCTGCGATAAAATAGATCAACGAACCAAGGCGCATTTCACAAGATGCTAAAGTGGCTAAAGTCTTCTGCATCATCTCAGCGGAATTCTTATTTTCGTGGATGCCGATAATTTATATGACAACCGCCGACATTTTCTTCGGTCGTTTCGATATTGTACCGAGTCTTGCGCACAATCTCATACTGCATAATAGCAGTTGCCTCCTTAGTTAATCCCTTCGTGTATGCTTTCCTAAAACCGGATTTTAAAGTTGTTATTCGCAACATCTGTCGAAAGAGTAAACGAGAGGAAGCGACATCCATGAAACCTCTACAGCCTTGTCAGGTGAAAAAAGAGACAGCCAGTGAGAGTTAGAGCTCCTGAAACGTTTTCCGCGTACTAGTAGTACGTAGACATTATAGAGACGATTATCCGCTCTGTCGCTCTTCTCCTTTGACTAAGAACTAAACGTAATGGAAAAGGTGGTTACAGATAAAAGACAAGTGACACATTTTAACCAGATAGAAAAAGATTTATATTCAGCATGGCTTTGACAAGACAAGAAAACTGGAAAAAATGGAAAAAAAGAAAAGCACCTTCTAGAAGAGGGAGAGACATCATTAGAGTTTTAGAAACGAAAAAATGTGTCAGCCATCAATAGTGTATTTACGAGAGCACCATGCAGTCGTGCTACATGCCATTTCACCGATTTCAATGAAACTTTGCCAGTTTAAAGGGTCTACCCCAAACTCCCAGTTTTTCTTGGTTTTCATCAAGGAAATCGCTTCAAAGTAGGTAAAATGTGTGAAGCTCTCACTGAGATGGTATTTAACTGAGAAATTTAACTCTCCGTAACTGAGAGTTTGCATAAATATAGTGACATCCTTAATGAATGTACGACGCAAGCGACGGCTTGTCAATCAACAGAGGCAAATAAATGGCTGTGTTCTCAGACTTTTCGATTCATCCAAATATTTGATAACTATGAGGTCAAATATCTCTCCTTACCAGAAAGCTACAACACTAATCTTAATTCTCCTTTATAAACCATCATTTCATCTCTGAAAACCATCAAAAAAATATTTGGGCACAGCTGTATTTTTGTCTTGGATGCCTTTTAAATGTGCGACTGTACCAAACTTCTATCTGGCTCTCAGCGGTAACTTGAGGAAATAAACCTTTATTTTATAGCTCGTTATACATGATGATTGATTGAGGAAGCTAAGAAATGTGAATAACTTTCGAGATTTCTTGTAGGAATGGAAAATTTTAATGTGTGTAGACGAAATAGTGATGGGAAAATTGTATTGTTTCTTTCACCTGTCGTTTATTACTTTGGATATTTGGCAAAATCAGAAAACATGGCTTTTGTACGGCACAGAACATTCATTAGTCTATTATTTGGTTGTTTATTATCATTACCTCACAGTTCACAATAAGAAAACTGTAAGCATCCACGATGCTTATTCTGAATGAAGGATCTCCTGCTCTTTGCCTGGCCTCGGGCAATTTCCCTTCCTATGCAGTTGGCGTGCTACACATGCAACGGTTATTCTCTTGGTGGGTGGGTTGGAATGGTTGGGTGGTACTTTTCGCTACATCTCTCACTTCCGAAACGTAGAGCACATGCTTTACACAATCGATATATATCGGCAGCAGTTTCGTTTCCACTCATTACCACGCCGACATTTGCGGAAATACAACAAGAGCCGGGGAATTTATCGTTTCTAAACGGCAACAACAAAATAAACGTCGAACAGGTTAAGCTTGTGAAGCAAATAAAGTACAACTTCGCTTTAAATTGAAATTAAATAGAGACACTCTCTGTGCGATGGTATAATTGACATTTCTTTTGACAGTTTAGAAGGCACAAATTGTGACAGTGATGTCTATTAAATTTCAAAGAAACACGAAAGTCGCATTACCGTCGTAATATAATTATTATCCTTTTTAGGACAGATGTTTCCTTTTTAGTAAAGGAGAGCACTCAGTTTTAAATCCTTCCGTGGAAAAAAAATCATAATATATTTTTTGACTGGAGCGCAAAAATTAGAAAAAAAAAATTTTGATGGAAAAATATTAGGTTTTCTTGAAAAATATGGTTATTTAATTTGACTGTTCTCATGATTAAGCTGCATTTTATTCATAGATAATCAACTGCACTTCTGCAACACACATGTGTGATTAGCGTACGCACCACACACCCCTACACATTTTTTTAGCATACACCTTAATTTAGATTTGCTAATGCTGTCTTTGCCGAAAGGAAAGGACCGCTCTTTCACTCTATGGAAAAATCATGTATGGAACACAGGAATGAGAACTAAGCCCGTAACTCTTCTCCTTTTAACCGATATTGCATGCGACATGTACTCGCTGGCAGCAGATTCCAACGACGAGAGGTAACGGTAATTTTTGTTTTTTTTTCTTTACGAAGCTTGCCAGGCGCAAGGGTCCCTTGAGTCAGCATGAATTGTTGTCAATGAAAACCTTTCAAGTCTGGCAAGTACTCTGAAGGAAGAATCAATTAAATGAGGTTGATATCCGTTTTTAATGCGTTCGGATCTGGGTTTTGTACGTCAGTTTTGTATCTTTTGTTTCAATTCAAAGAGATAGGTAGGAGTGGAAGAGCACGTCAGGGTTCGGAGATAACCAGGTGCATGTCAGTCAGATAAACAGAATTATCGAACCATTTATGATAATGGACTCATGACTGAACTCACTTGTATCATGGAAAGCTTTTATTCAGTTTATGCCATGCTGTCTCCTTAACGATTCTAAAACTTTGAAGAAAAGTGCTGATATCATAAGGAAGGAAAAAGCAGCTGGTGACGTATAGCCTTTGGAAAACGTCAAAAAGAACAACGTCGAAATAAAATTCAAAGCGCTTTGTATCTCGTAAGTGAAACAGCACGTTTTACCTTTTAATTTAACTTCAAATGTTATTTCGTGTCTTTGTTTGCTTTGGTTGGTTAGTAAACTAAATGTTGAATTATTAAATTTTGCAACCTCCGTTCTTTAGTCTTGATGTGTCATAGATGGAAAGGGGTAGTTTTATGTTTTAATATCATTTCAATCATCATCATCATCATCATCATCATCATCATCATCATCATCATCATCATCATCGTCATCGTCGTCGTCGTCGTCGTCGTATTAATTAGATGATGAATTTGAGATTTCTTTGTTCCTCGCTCGTAACAAATGTTCAGCATCTTTACTCAACGACCGACGTCGAAGTGTAATATGTGTTCTTTCTTTTAATTTATTTCAAACGTAAAAGGTACTTTAAAGCGTTTGGTGAATTGGCGTCCTTCTTGATCGATCAGAAGAGAATGATTCTTCCAATGCTTGCATTGTATTTTTTGGGTAGTCTCGTGCAGCATGTCATTCTTTAGTTGAGACTTGCCTTCTGTTTAAGCGTAAGCTAACGAATGGTCTTGTTCTTTGATTGTTCTGCTTTAAAAGACCTGACAGAAATCGACTGTTGTTCAACGCATCTGCTCGAACATTTCTGATATAAATTCCGAAGAGCCATCTTGAAATCAGGTTTTAGAAAAGCATACAGCAGAGGATTTGCCAGTGAACCCGCCGCTATGGTGAAGAACGAAACCGAGGATAAGATGTCTGGGACAACTTGAATCCGTTTTACAATAAAAGCTGTTGTCATGTAAAGGATTGGTAGCCAAGAGAACAAAAAGGCCAGAGACACAATGCAGTAGATTTTGGCTACCTTGGCATCTGCGGAAATGCGTCTGCGTTCGTTGATTTGTCTCGAGACAGATTTCAAGTTTTTCCTTAACGCTAAGCTTCTGCGCACTTGTCTGAAAATTCGAATGTAGGCTGCAGTTATGAAGATGTACGGAACGACGACACCAAGCAGCTCTAAGCACGCTAAGTAGACTCTATGAGCTGTTTTTGAATGATCTGCGCCCCAAATCAAAGGAACAGAGGCATATATGGCCGGAACTAGCCAAATAATCGCAATTCCTCTCTTGAAGAATTTGGGAACGAGATATGAATATTCTAGAGGTTTCACTATAGCAATAAAACGATCGCAAGTAACTGCCGAAATGTTGATAACACCCGAAAGTAAAATCATTGCGGCGAAGTATCCTTCGACGACATATGATGGTTTGAATAGCGTCATAGGAAAAAGCAGGCTACCAGTCAGTAGGTCGGACACAGCAAGGGACAGAATCAACCAATTTGTGTATGTGCGAAGGGTTTTGTTGAAGCAAACCAGCGTGACAATAACAGCGTTCGAGAGAACTATAAGAACTGACAGAGCACCGAGAATGATGGTTAGATAAATACCTTCAGTTGTTTTTTCCATGCGGTTTTTTTTCGCTGATATGTTGAGCGAAAGTCGGTTTACACGGGTAGTTACTTTCACTTTGAATTAGATCTTTCTAAACTAAACGGAACCTTCGTGAAGTTGTACTAATGCGTCGTATTAGGTTATTGGTTCCGCTGTAAGCGGAATGGATCTCTAACAAACCGGTATTTTCGATTTTTTCATGTATGTTTTATTCTAAATTTTCTGTCAATGTATGACATTTAAATGGATTAAAAAGTAAACATCAGTAGCGCGCGAAATCGATCAGTTTAATTCAATCGTAGTTTTCTGGTCAGTTTATGGAAAAGTGTCGAAGTGAGAAATTACAAGACGAAAACGAAAGCTCTTTAATTAATTTGATTCAATAGCAGTTTCTACAAACAGCAAATACAATTAAAAACCTGGAGGGAGCCTTTTTAGGGTCTGCATCTAATTTAAACTATTGCATCGAATAAGAATAGAATTCATTTCAAAAAGGTTTTTGTTTTGTCTTACAGTTAGAAAACTTACTGGGACCGAACTCTTAGACTGGAAATATTAAATACAAATTTTCAAATTTTCAAATTTTCGAGTGACTCATGAAGTACCAGGAGTTCTTCTGTCTCTTAATTGCAAGTTCTTCACCACGCGTAATAAATATATGTTCTTGTCTTTTCATTCGAAAACTTTGACTTTGTCTTGGAAACTGGAAAATATAAGCACTGCTTTTGTGCCTTCATGAGCGGCATTGTCACTCGCAACTTCCCCAAAGAAGTGTTCAACTTTTATTTTTTGTGACAGCAAATGTTCTTGTTTGGGGAAATTGGGAACAGAGGAAAAAGGTTGTTCTTCTGTGCCGGATGTTGAATGACTTTTTGGAAGGCGCAGTTTATATGCAGGTGATAACTGGGAGCTCTTGAAATTTGTTTTCAGTGCATGTATCCATTTTAAAGCACCACACATCCTGTTCTGCGCATAACATCACCCAGAACTCCTTGCGAATACGCGCACATGCAAGCCGATAACAGGGTGGATTTTGATTTTTAGCTGTACGGTGATCTTTTGTTCTGAAGGACTAAAACTGCGACCTTGAAAACAACGAATCGACGAGCGATGTGAATTTACGCCGTTTGAAAATGTGTATTCTTTTTCCAATGTATTTATGTATTACGTTGTTAGATTTGCCATTTTACCCAGAGTCGCACGTGCGATATATTGCCCACTACATCAGAAAATTGTGGTAGGAAGACTTGAGGTGTAATATGGAAGACTATGTTTTTTACAGTTGTGTTCGGAATTGTATACTTGTATACAAATATGTTCTTTAACCAATGTGTCAACTTAATTTTCTTTCAGGATCTAGTAAAGAAAGCAGAAATTGTGAAGGAAGTGCAGAGCATTGTCCTGAATAACGAGAAGTAAGTGGGTTTATTCAAACTTTGAATTAGGTATTATAGGCGGAATAGGTGGAAAAACAAACCATAGAAAGGGGGAAGTTAAGGAAGGCAGTCGGAAGGCAGTCGGAAGGCAGTCGGAAGGCAAGGAAGAATGAGCAACGTTGGAAGGTCGTAAGGAAGAAAAGAAAGTATGACGGGAATAACTGTGAGAGGAGGACAGGAGATTGAAATTGAATGACCTAGGAGTAATGGGGGGGGGGGGGATGTGGTGATGGACAAGGAAGGGAGGGAGGAGTGAAGAAGAAAGGGAGAGAAAGTGGGGGAATGTAAGTATGGATTGAGGGATGGAGGAATTAAGAACCAGAGGAAGGAAGTGGGAAGTGAAGACGGAGAGTGTGGAATGAAGGGATGGATGGATGATATGAAGGAGGATAAGAATGCGAAGTAAGGTAGGAGGGGAAGGAAGCGGAGTTTGGAAAGGAGCGATGGAAGAAAAAAGGAAGTAAGGGAGAGATGAAGAAGGGAGCGAGAAAGGTAATCAGGAATGTTTTGCCAGGGAAGAATGCCGCAGTGTGTATGGAGAAGGGGAGGAAGGTATTGAACAATGGGTAGAGAGGGAGGCAAGGATGGAGTCCAGGAGGAGAAGGAGAAAGAGAAAGAGAAGGAGAGAACCTTTGAACATTCGTTTTATAATATCTTTAGATCAAAGGATGACATAAGGGATTGTGGCGGTGTTCAGGCGCTTTGTCGCCTGCTGAGTCTAAGCAGAGATCCATTGGTTCTTCAGCATATTCTAGCGAGTCTTGCATCTCTTTCATTTGATAACGCAAGGTGAGTTCTTCTTACGAACGTAGTTGGGTTCGATCGTGATTTCGATCTAATGAAATATACGAAGTATCTTTCATTTTAGTAGTATCAACTTTTTCGAGGTGCTGTTCATTTTTAGTAACTGCGACGAAGTAACAAGCCAAGGTGGACTTCAAACAATGTGCTATTTGCTAGGAAAGGTACGATCACGGGTTTGCAGCTAGTTAAATCACTTTCCTAGTTAGCTAAGATTCTAAAGTTATTCAGTTATCTTATTCGAAGTGTATATCACCCTCTCTTGTAGTTAGTTACCGGTTAACACTCGCACAATTGCAGGAACGGTAACTTCGGTTGCAGCGGACTGAACTTAATTTTCTTCTTGTTTATGACAAAAATGTGAAACGCCACCATCTTAAAGCTTTGTTAAGGGAAAAAGAAAGGAAAGAAAACTATCTGGTTCGGTAGAAAACTGTTATTACGCTTTACTTTAAGACGTTCCGCATCATATCGTTGACAATCCGACCAAGGCAGACTATGTAAGCGAGCAATCACAGCCCTCTTAATTAGATGGTACTATCTCGAGAATTTATTAGCTTGTGACCAAAAGGAGGTTTCTCTTTCCGGCGTCAATATATCTTCTAGCAGATAGGTGACGAAGAAAAAGAAAGATATGATATGTGGAACGTTGTTTGATTTAAAACTAAACCCTTAGAGCTTGAATCATGGGAAATGTATGGCAGACAGTAAAGAGAATTGATTTAGTCCTGTTTGTTGTGAGATTCCAACGTGTCGTTTTTCTTCGTTCTCTGTTTTAATCTGTCTTGTCAAGACAAAAAACAGCGTTATCCAAGAAAGCATAGCTTGGGCTTTGAAGAACCTGGCAACCACAGAAAGGTAAATTTATTGCTTATTTTCATATATAAGAATGCTATTGGACAGTATCCGGAATCATGCGTGTGTTTTACTTGTTTCAATTGACGTTTTGAAACTTCTTCTATCCTTCAACAGAAATCAAAATGAGGCAAGAACTCGAGGAGGGCTCCAGGCTTTTTGTGAACTTTTAAGAACCACCATGGATGACAAAGTTAGTTTGCTTTCTTTTGGCTCCTCGCGAGCAGTGCTCTACTTTTCTTTGCGCTAGCGTTGTTTAAAGACATTCGCACGATTTGAGTGGTGTGGAGTGAAAAATGATGACCGGTCACGAAACCAGTCATATTATAGGATTTTTTTCAATTCTACCCGCTCACGTGCAGTGAAATAAAAACGTTACATGTATGTCGTGTTATTTTTCTTCTTAAAGAGATTGGAGCGGGCAGACTGGGGATTCAAAATTCCTGACCTCCTCCCCGAACATGATGCGATGAGACTTCGATTTCAAGTCTATGTCACTCTGGCATTTCGGGGGACATGGCGGAAAATTTAGCGTTTTTTCCTTTACCTGTTATGACTGTTTTGTGAGTGTTACTTTGGAAAGGAGTCATAAAAGGGATAGCAGGAATTGTTCTCCAAAACGAATTGATAAAGGAAAGAGCAAAATGGTTTGTAATATGGGTTGGGGAAAGGAATTGGAAGGGCTCGTAAATAACCTGGGTTTTGAGAATACGTGCTGCCATTTTCCTGGCAGGTCTTGGAGAGAGTGACGTGGGCTATTGGATCTCTTGTAGATGACAACACCAGTAAAAAAAAGTTTTCCAACCATTGATTTAAGTTGATGAATGAAAGATACCAGTCCTCATGTTATTGGTGTGTCCTTGCCTTTTTTGATAGCTCATTGTACAGAATGCCTGAACATTATTAGTTATTCATGAGCACTAAAGCGGGAAATTTTGAATGCAAACGCGCCTTGAAAGACCAAAATAAGAGAAGAAAGGGCCAAAACAAGCGATCCACGAAGACCAACTTTTAGAAGCTTTGCTGCTAATATTACAGATCGATAATTTTTCGCCACAGCAATTAAATGTCTCTAGAACAATAAACATTCTTCGCGATAAATAATTTGATGGGTGGGGGGGAGAGATTGCGCTATCGATTGTCTTTTTATGCGGTCCTTGCAATGTATCTTCTTACTTTTCTGAGAATGTTTTCCGCCATATAGGTTGTGGAGATTTCAAACATCTAGGTCTTTTGAATTCAAGGTAATCGTGACACAAATTGACAACGAATTTTTCAAATTTCAAATACACGCACAGCAAAATGACATGAGCAATACGTGCCTCATCTTATAGATAACTTTAATGGTTGTTATTTGTTCCACAGTGATTGTCAATGATGGTGAGATATTTTGCGTTTCCACAGAAACTGTCAAGCCGTGCGGGATTGTGGTGGCCTGAAAACAATGTGTGAATTGGTCTCACTGACTTACAGCGAAAATGTTTTAGAGCGCACAATGTGGGCGCTAGGAAACTTAGCTATCGACAATAAGTAAGTCGATCCTTTTTTTCTTGTTTTATTGTTTGATAACTCAGTCTTAATTGATTGCTGATAGTAATACAGGGTTAGATTGGTTCAAACTCTCCTTTGTAGTATAATTGGTCGTGAAATCTCGCGCCAACGTCAACCAATCAGATGCAAAGGAAAACGAGTCGAGTGCTCGTCACCCGCGTTTTCCCGCTTTTCAGTTAGTTAGGTTGCTTTTACATTGATTCCTCGTTTGCATTTCGTGGTAAGTGTTTACCATTGTTCTCTCTGGCCATTTATGTCCATCGAAATGCGCTTAATTTTCAATCATGAAAATGGAACGCAATGCTAAGGTTCAATGATGCCAGATGCTCTATTTATTTCTTATTTTTCTCAATGCCATCGTTATTGTTTATTTTTTATCTATTTGTTTTTGTTGTCTTATTTAGGAATCGCAATTTCATTCGACAATATGGAGGCCTTGAGAACATTTGCAAAAAGCTGCAAGAATCAACCTCACAGCAGGTGGGATCATAAATATGAGCAGAGGGACCAAACATTGAAATGAGTACTGCTATGCAGACATGTTGGCTTTGGTCAAAATTGAAAATTTTCTCAGATAAATTTGTCTGCGTATATGTCCCTTCTGTATTCTCGGAGCTCATAGTTTTCATGTAAACTTCGCCTCGGCAGTGTTAGACCACTCTCAGCAGTATTAAGCCAATCACGCAAAGTTAACAGCTCTCCCTCTGAACAAAAGGTCATTGTAAACTTTTTTCTTACCAGATCATAAAGCAAGGTGCCCTGACGCTTAAAACTCTGGCGAGTAGTAATCAACACAATAAGGATGTTATGGTCAGACTGGGGATGATTGGTACACTTCGAAGGTTTGTAACGCAGTGTTCTCACTGGGGGACTCAGCTTCTTCCTTGCTCCACGTTCTTGACAATGTACTTTTCAACAATTTTCTGTCTTTTCTTTTTAGTTTAATGACAAATGAGCAGCAGAGTTTAGGTATCATTCCTCGCCGTGTGTGTGGCGATCTACTGCAGCGTCTTCTTGGCTCAGCAGCTGGAAACATCCATACAACAAGCTCAACCGCTACAGCACCTGACGATAGAACCGAAGAATGTGCGATCGCTTCTGGCATAATCGTAAAGCAAGAACCTGAGACGAGATCAGTCAATGGTCTGGTGCAGAATGGTGATATTGACAGTGAAGATGACGATGACTTACCCCCTCTGGGTGGGGAGGACAGTGACGAGAAAAATGAGAGGATTCCGTCTGCGATGATCACACCAGCCCCAAATACTTCTGAGAACCTTTCCCCGAGGGAAAATTTCTCTCGGTCGGAGACGCAAGGAATTGCTGCAGCTAGGTCTACTGTAAGCGTTAGAAATCACGTTGGGCCTCGTGCAGAAGAGAATGATTTAGACCCATTTAGGTGAGCTGGTTTTAAAAATTGTAATTGTATGAAGACTGTTTTTGAATGAGAACAAAGCTTTGGACGTCGGGATTGAAGAATCCATGTTTGGGCTGGGGTCACCAGTTACCGACTTTCTGAACCTTCCCCCCCTCTTTAGTGAGCACCGCTCCCCCCTTCCCATCCCCTGGGAAAAAACTGTAACATTAAAACACTACTGGCAATCAATCAAAATATCAATGCTGTAGCCATGGTTATACCGCAGTAATGTTCTTCTCTTGGGTTGGGTAGCGTGTCAGTTCCAAATTTTTTTTACAATTTCAAGCATGTACCAGTTTCCGTTTGGGACAATGGTAGGTTTAATGAACAGATAAATACAAATTGCATGCGCTTGCATTTAGGCGTGAGTGGAAACCTGGAGGAGTAATACACCCCGGAGGCTTATTAAATGTATTGTGTGTGATGTTTTAGGACATACTGAATTTTGTTTCAATATTATGTTCAGCGTCAACTGTTTCGTTTTCGGTCGCGGAGGACACACAGTCTGTAAAAGGTGGCCCTTATCCTACAATCAGTTGTCACATAATTTTTGAAGAGTCCAATTTATGTGTAGAGTAACACTTCTGTTTCCTACAATCAGTTGTCACATCATGTTTGAAGAGTCCTATCTATGTGTAGAATAACACTCTTGTTTTTATCAGGCTAGAAATTACTGACAAGACCTCCCTTCCTCTATTCAATGTTGCCTGTATGAAGCTAACGGTTCATGGAATCACGACACAACATTTTTATGAAGGGGAGGGGGAGGGGGCGGCGAATAGGTAAACTTAACTAGGGCAAAAGAGACAAAATTGAAGTAAGAGGGTCTTGAAAAGGTCAATGTGTCAGCAATTTTGTCGCCAATTGTAGGTCTAAACCATCGCAATGTTCACATCCACCCCGTGAAAATAACTTGGTATTGGCAGATAAACAAGGTAACCTGACCGATGTTGGAGTATGGGAAGGGGAAAAACTTCTGATTGTTCTAACATCTCACACGTGGGTAGGAAAACTGCTCTTAACTCGCTTAAATATACATAAGTAAGAATCCTTTTAACAATTTGAAATTAGTATTTTCTTGCCCCTATTTAAAACCATGATGATTTATATATTTTCCAGCGTGCATCCGAAAACAGTGTGGTCACAAACGAGAGAACTGGTGCGAGTTTGTGTGAAGCTGCGTGGAGTGGAGAGACAGCAGACCGAGATAACTGCGAGCAGGCTCAAGTTTAGGTAAGTTTGGCAGCATTTGAGTTTCTTCATTCAAAATCATCTTCCTCAAAGATGACTCTTCGATTAGTCCACCGTAAGCAAATAGTGACTAAAGACAAGGAGCGTCTTTGAAGAGAGATTTTTATTATTGAGTCAAAACTACATGTTCGCAGGTTGTGTTTTTACTGTAATATTCGAATCCTTGGGGGACATTCTAATGTTGTTATGTCGCGCACATATCCCAATTTACCATGCACACTTGTTGATCCCAGCAATATGCAGTACGCCTGTCATATGCGAACCTAGTAAATGACCAAGCATGCTTCGGAGTATTTTTGAACGCAAGGGTGGAGCATTCCACCGCGAATTCCGACGTTCTGAGCAGGGTTTAACGAAAGCTGATTACAGGCGATCTACCGCCGCCCAAACGACCTCTCATCGCCGTGTGTTTCAGTAGCTTATGAGAAGGTTCTCGTGTGTGGGTTTCTCCTTAGGGGGCAGCTGCCTGTTACACCATCGGCTGCCGTTTATGGAAAAGGTTCTTGAAACCCGTACGAGGTTCGACCCCAACACGAGCTTGTGACAAATGGGAAACTTTTTTTTAAGAAACAAGCTCAAAGTTTTCCTACTTCGTAACCCTGTAATAATGCATTTTGTTTGTGTGTTTGTATGTTTTTGTTGTAATATGATTAATGTTTTCTTTCACTAGTACACAGCTAAGACACGTAGTTTATGAACTGGACATGGAGCTATTAGGGGAGATTGATCCTGAGGTAGGTCTGAGGTCTTTTCCTTGACAGTCTCTTTGTTTTTAATTTGCGGTGTTGTTAATTATGTTCTCTCATTGGATGATTGCAGCAAAGTACTGTAATTGTCAAGGGCTCGGAGGTACAAATTTTACTCAAGAAAAGAAACCATGCTGTGTGGACGCGGTTGTTGAAGAGCAAAGAAAAGGTAACATATACAGTGGAACATGTAGTTTGTTCTTAGTCAACATGGATTGACCCTCATAGTTTCTCTTCTTTCTTTTTGTTCGTTTATTGACTTGTTTTTTGTTTGTTTGATTTCTTTCAGTTGCCTTACGTCTCCATTGACTTTGATCGTTGGGAAGTATGGTCGTCATCGGAGGAGGACGAAGCCGAGGGTGATGCAAACTTCCAAGCAGCGCCGACGAACCCAGACAATTCCCATCACACCTCAGAGGATAGTAGAGAAGGAAGGAAACTGGTATTATTGCCTGAAATGCTTGTCAGTGGTTCGGAGTCCGATACTGATGAAATCTTGCCATCTGATGTGGATTGCTTAAAATTCTATTAGTCAAAACACTGAGAAAAAATGTGTTATCGTTGAAATGTAACAGTTTTTGAACAGGTGATAAACTCTTTCAAGAAATGGATTAACCAAGAACGTCACATGACTAGTCGCTAGTATTTGTTATGTTATATGAAAGAAAGTCAAGTTAAATATTGAAATCGAAGTGAAAGTTTTCTTTATTTAGATAGCATTTTTTTACGGTAATTTATTACATTGTTTTTACACTTTCTAATATCTAATAAAGGCCTAATTTGATGGTGACTTTTGGTAGAGTTATTGCCCTGTTTAGCTGTACAGTATGTTGAAGTGTCGTTAAAATTAAACCAAAATAGTTAAAATAGCCATTTAGAACAAATCAAGAAACCAAAGAGCCAATGAGAAGCTAAGGCAGATATATGTAAGCAAACTTAAGTACATGGGCAGACGAACGCGGCATTAAGGAGTCGTGCATGTTCTAATTTCAATCAATCACTCTCGGGTTCCATGCGGTGGATTAAATAGATTCTCGCGCTCTGATTAGTCGCGATTTGCGTCATATCTCGCGAGGTGATTATAGTAGGGGCGATGAAATGGCCGCTTAGCATTTTGTCAAAGTTACCGAGGAAGTGATAAGCGCGATAGAAGAAATTCAATTCCGAAGAGCACAAAATCCAGCAGGTTTTGTAGAACACTTTTCAAAAGTAACATAAGAAGTTTTTGCTGATTAGATTGATTATGGAAACTGGTTGCCTATCTCGATACGAGCGATCAAAAATTTTGTAACATATATGCCCACTGCCTTCTTTATTTACACATAGTTACTGGGATACCTTTGGTAGCCCAGTCATAAAATGCCTTTGTTTTTTTTGTCGTCTTTTTTTTTCCTCCGCCACAAAATGGAAAAATTGCGCAATAGTACCCAGTGGTCATTGGGCTCTCAACACCATGACAACTAACTGTGATCCAATGAGGTGTTCACATGCTGATCACGCGTGTTATCTTGATGATGATTGACGTTATCATGCACGGACAGGGCCGGGTCTCATGACGAATCACGAGATTTTTGCTTATAAAACTCTTTTGTCAGTCGTTATGTATTCCAACGTGTTTGTATTACGATCACCAAGTGGCATTATGGCGCAAACGCTCAAAATACTTACAGACGCATACACAAGTCGTATTGTTCGCGGCCAATCCACACTAAAAGACGTTATTGATGGCTAATTCTGGAACGGATTGAGTCGCGAACGCTTGAAAGCCATGAAAACCCTTAATGCCTTGTATGCCTTGTATGCCAAGTATGCCAATGTCTCAGTTGAAAAACGTGCACTTGTTGTAAAAAGCAAAATCTAAAATCTGAAACCAAACTGCATACACTCTATGCAATCTATTGAACAACACTACTACCGTGAAACTGAAGAACAAAACTAATGGATGCAAACTGCTTGTGAAGAAAGACGCCATGTTGGATTCACTTGATGCCAGGGAACGTAGCTACGATAACAGTGCGAATGGTACTAATTTCACGATCAGAAAGGTGAATCTTATTTGTTTTCATTGTAGTTGTATGGATATTCTTTTTTAATAAATACATGATCCAAAATCCTGTGTTTTTGGTGTACAATGTTATTATGTTAAGTATTGTTTTCGCAATTGTCTTGTCACAGGCGGCCCAAGCTCACGCCTCGAAAAAAAGCCAACGATAAATTCATGAACGCGTCATGCGTTGTGTGACTCGGTGTTAAGTTACGATAGGAACCGTTGAAAATTTGAACACGTTATAAGGAATCGTATAGGGAACGAAAAATGGTCGATTTACAACGATAAATATTTCGAAATATAAACATTTTTCTCGTAAAATCAATAAAACTTACTCATACCCCGTGTATCCGTTGTAGTTTCTGGCGATTTCTGCCGTTTTAAGCTTGCTTTACCATCACTGTTATTCACGTCATCTACTTTTATTACGTTGGTAAAATCTGTACAGACATCACACCAGCCAAATCGCGCGCAAAGTAAGAAGACTATATTGAAGGCTTGAAATTTTATTACAATCGATTTTCATCAAGGTATGGGCCAGGAATTTTCCACAATAGTGCAAATAATCGTGAAGGCTGATCGCGGAAAAGCGATTGCGTGACGCTCGGTAAGTTGTAAGATGACATGTTATTACATACCAGACGTAAAAACTCTTCAGATGCTCAGTCTGCATTTTGTACCCACTCTGCAGTCTGCAGTCTATATTTTGTATCCGGTCTGCAGTCTGCTGTCTACATTTTGTACTAACAGGTATCCGTGGCACCAATACAGTTTATTTTTGGTTACATTTATTCGCACAACACACATAATCTACCACAAAATACCTGTGTGTGAGGTGATTAGACATTTTCGTTCTTTTCCGCGTTAATACTCTTCTTTCCTTTTGTAAGAATGTAGACCACTTACAATGTTTCAAGTAATCCACCCTACAAAAAATAACTCTTGCATGCATAGCATGCCTATGTTTTGAAATAGGTGTATGCCCTCGGCCAGACTTGAGCTCACTATTTCAGTATACTAGTCCGACACCCGTACTATCACTACACTTGATTCCAAGGATCCAGTACCATCCAGGTATCCCAGTTACCCTGCTCATAGGGTCTAGTTTTAACATAAACGAGTTTACCAAAGAATCTCGCGAAAGTTTTTGTGCAATTATACCAAGACAATCATTCACATCAGGCTCAGTGAATATGAACTCCATATCCGACAGTTCAACCTATAATACGCCGGGATATTTAGCGAGTTGAGTTAGAAAACGTTCGAAGAAATAACAAACGAATTTTACAGACATTCGAAACCAATTATTTGAAAGAAGAATGTCAAGGTTTACTTATTACTCCTCCTGCGAATCAAAACGCTTAAGGCTGTGACAATTAACGAGTTTTTTGATTCCCTCCCTAATGACTGAATTTCCTTTGTAGTACAGCACAGGATTTATACTCGAACAAAGACTTGCCACTGGAAAGTAAAAGGGTTCTACAAATAGAATGAATCCCATTTGAAGTACGTTTGATAAACCCACTAAAATGGCAATAGGGATGATGCACAACCCCAGAAGACTAACCACGTGATGAGTAGTCGCCACCAACTGCCGTTCGATTTCTTGAGAAGCTAAATTTGGATTCACCCGAGCGCTTTCTTCCATTTTCTGTGCAACGCCATTGTTATGCTTGCGGAGAGCAGCCAGAGTACACAACTGGATGGCAATTACAATCGCGGAGAAGCAAATGATGTATCCGCCTTCAAATGTTTCAACAGCCCTCCTAGGAAACAACTTGACCTGCTTCAGAACAACTAAAAAAATGGACGTCACCCATACCGCAAAAGAAGCAGTAATGGCGTACTGCATCTTCATGGCAGCTTTGTACCACTATGGTTTAATGACGGCTAAGTATCTATCCACACTCATGACTCGAAGGGTTCCCACCATAGCAAAAAGGCATAAAAAGAAAGAAAGCACCATGACAGGCGAGTCCCAATCACTGCGATTGAAACAAGCTTCACCGGCGATCAGCTCCGCGATTCTGAATCTAATGTACAACGACGACGGTGTTACTACCCCACCCCACAGAACGTCAGTCAACGTCAAGCTGCAAAGATACAGAAACCCTGGGCGGAATCGAAGTCCACCCCTCATAATTGTGACCAGGACCAACCCGTTTGACAGGAAACACCACAGACCTAACATGGTTGTGGCAAAGGTAAGCACCAAGCTAGAGTAATAACTAAATTGGGATTGGACAGAGCGTGGAAATTCAGAGATGAAGCACGGCCGCCCCTCTTGCAACACTTCGTACTGTGTGTCATTTGTAGTCAAGTTTGGCTCCATGTTAGCTCGCTTAATCCTAAAACATAGGAAAGAAATGGTTCTTACATATCCATCCTAAACTGAAGTAAGTTTGACGTTTTAGATGTACCGTTGAAGCGTTGAAGCTCCCTAAACATTTTATCTTAGGTATGCACAGTCATGAGCTTCCTACATGTATTAAGACCACTTATGGCTATCTGAGATTGGCTATGAAAACCAATTTTAGTGGACACAATTTTGAACTGAATGAACCACGGACTACTTGTTTAACACTGGGGACTGATAGGTAATCGAGAACTGAAATACGGTAGTTCGGAAAATTATCTCATCGTTGAAAATGTTTTATTGTGCTTTTCATTGACTTGTGAAGGTAAACACAAAAGGTAAACGCAAATGGTTTTCATCGTTTTAATTTGCTTGTTTTCGTAGACAAAAATACAAGACTAATGACCATTTCCGTGGAACGTTCCGAATGGCAAAATACCGACTAATTAAGAAACAATCAGAAGGCTCGGATCTACCTCGGGACTTCCTTGCTATATAATAATGAATGATAATTTTAGGAAATGTTGACAAAACACCCAAGGCTTAGTTTACAAAGATTGTTCTTGTGTGGAAGGAAAATAGAATACTAAATTGCTTAATAATGTTTAACCTCGACTTTATATTACCCTTGAGAAGTCTAGTAAAGTTTTTCCTTTTCTTAGCCATGAAGTCTTGAAGTCCCTACCTATTTTTTGTTCAATTTTCAGTCAACTATGTCTCATTTAGGTGAATTAGATATTATGATTTTAAGAAGGCAGATAAGAAAAAAATTTCAGCCTTATTGAAATCAGCTTGGCGGAGTTGACGATGTTGACAAATTTTAATAATTTGACGAATTTTAATAATCATCCATAAACAAGATGAGAAAGGAAAGTATCAAGTGTTACTATTGGCTGACTCTGGGTATGCGCAGGTAAACACAAAACCATTTTAATTCAGTGTAATTACAGCTATAATTTTTCTAAAACCCCTTTCCACTCCCTTTTCTGGTTTAATAAGTTTACATCTGACAGGCCATTCAGCCACGAACTACATGCTGCTACATCCCTCTAGGTTTGTGCCAATGATGAATTGGTGTTAAGTGGCTTTGCAACAAACTTCTCTGAGGATTTAGAAAAACCAGGAATAAAAACAACCAAAGCTGCAAAACTGAAAGCAATGGGAGAAAAATTCCAAAAGGAAGGTGACGAAATACTGAAAAATATGAAGGAATATGTCAGACATGGCAAGTTCAGCGGAAGTGAAGAATCAAACAGCACTGATGAAGAGTCTATGAGCCAGCGAAGCACTAATAGGTATTTGGGGATAAGGGAATCCCCTTTGGTTGTGTTAAGACAACAGGTTTTAGGACATGGATCATGTCAGGAAAACAATAGCTCAATTCAAAAGCCTTCAGCAAGACTTCCTGAAGGTGCGTGTGAGGGCCTTTCGTCTCAGAGACTCTCAGTGAAAAGTCAGAAGATGAGCTAATGCATGGATCTAGAAAACCGGCAGCAGCATCGGTTGACAATAATTCAGGAAGGGTGCGATTTCTGTCATCTAGACTGCCAGTAACAGGTAGTGGTATGAGGGGAAGTTTTCATCCAATGTCATCAAAATCTCCAGATGCCATGAATCTGAAGCCCATTCTTAAAAAGAAAAGTGCTCACAGTGGATCTTCCACTGAGGCAGATGACTTTGGTCCGAGAAGACTTGCAGACAGAGACGGTTCAGGTGTTTCCTACTGTGAAATACCTGAATTTTCCTTTAATGGCTCTAATGGTGAAATCTTCCTTAAAGAAACAGACGAAAAAAAACAGTCCCCCCGAAATAGTTCAATAAGTGTAGATACCTTGTTTAGCCAATTCAACGTTAGATTGCCTTTTGTAAATTCTATTTCATCTAAGAAAACAGTTCAGGAAACTGAGTCACTGTTTAAAACTATTGCTGTGGCAAATAGAAATGAAGAGGATCGGCAAAGATTGCTATCTTCAATAAAGACCCTAAAAGAAACCTGTGGGAGAGACTGCGGGTCAACTTTAGATCCCTCTACAGATTTAGTACAGACATGTGAGCCTCCAACGACTAAAAGCAGCTCAGAAATTGCATGTCGCTCTGAACATTCTCCAATACAATCCTCAACAAGCTTACATGTGGTTGAAGGGAGAAATTTAAGTGAAAAATCTACACAATTGTCTCAACTATTGCAGACTTCTTGTGGTTCTTTTGGAAAGTCTCCTCTTCCTTCAGAAATACTATTATCCACACAGAAGTCAGCTTCACCTGTTCAACGCACCACAAGTGGAAAAAAGGTATTATATTCTGATGGTGTTATTGTTTGCTCAGAGGGTGCACCTACTCCAAAGCCGGTCTTTTCACCAGAGTTTTGCCCATTTCCTCATTATTTGCTTCGGCTTGGTATTTTGAACCCTAGCTTACTTCAGGCATATGCTTCGCCTACTCTTCTGAGAGGACGTGACCTTGTAGGCATTTGCCAAGCAAATGATGCATAAATACATGCGTACTTACTGCCAATTATCTATCAGTTGGTAGAAGAAAGGGAAATTTATGCAGATCTACCAAAGTTTTCAAGTGGGGTAAGTTTGCTGGGTGGCGGTGGGGTGGTGTGGTACCTGGATTCAAAGTGACAGGGGAAATGTAATGGAACTTTATTGTGCAGCCGCTCCTTTGAGTCCTCAGAGATAAAAAGCTTTAGTTTCGTGCATTTTTTTTTTGGGAAGTTAGACATCCAAGAACAAGGTTCAATAATTTTTGGGTTTTCTACCTCACCGTTAAACGGCTAAAGGAATCCTTGCAGTTACAGTGTGTAGAAGTCAAGCTCATGAAAGAGAATTTTCAAATTCAAAATTTCTGGTAAATTTCCTTTTCTTGCCAACTGTACGGATCAAGCACCTTGGCTGGTAAAAACAGAAGACGGTATCTACTGTGTAGTTTGCTGTTGATAGTAAAAGGGCTCCGTTTGTCTTTGAAATTTCACGTTCTTGCTACGTGTGAATGCAGCTATCATGTTATATTGTGCCCCTAGCTAACCTTTAAATCTCGCTTTTCATTCAACTAATTTATTCTTGTTTCTTGTCACCATGTTCCCATCAATAGCTTAGCTCCATTTTCTGCTTATAAACACACACCACCCACAATTCCTCCATTCGCTCAGACCTCGAAACGTCAACTTTGAAACTCTTCATGGTGGCCAATTTACGTTATCAACTCAGTTGATAATACCAAATATCCCTGTTATACTCTCCCACTGACACAGCATCACAGAAACTGACCTCCTTCAGTCCTATATAATCTTATATCATATGTGATCTTTATATTGTTGTGAATTTCGCTTTGTATTTTCTTTCCAGCCGCAGTTTCTTATCCTTGCTTCAACATGGGGAGCTGTTGTTGATATCTTCAGGCAATGCAGGCTCATACTAGCTAAAAACAGGAACATTCGTGCGCAGCTGATATTTGCTGCTGGTGCAGAAGATGGCTGTGAGATCCTGATTGCTACACCACCTTGCTTCCTTCGAATGCTCAAGAAATGTTATATATCCCTTGATCGACTCTGTCACTTGGTATCTCATGACGCGGACATAGTGGTGGAGGACTTCACATCTGAGATCAAATGCATCATGAGACATTACGCTAAGCTATTGAAATCCCAACCCTGTCGTTCAGCACCACGCCAGGCAGTTGTCATGGCTTCGTCTTGGAGTGTGGGTATAGTATCACTGGTGAAAGCATATCTTGGGAATCCTGTGGTGTTGATTCCTGGCATGATTGAAGCAGCTATCTACAGGGGTGTGCAACAAATTGTAACATTTTGCTCCAAGAGCCAGAGGGATGTGCAACTTCTTGGTAAGGGTATTTAAAATTCATAGTGCTCTGGATAGGATTTTAAGCACATATAGGCTTGCCTAACCGGAATTAGATAACAAATGACGAAGATATAAAAGCAATTGAAGTCAAAATATATAATTACAAGCAGCTGTCTAGTGGAAAGTGGGAATGATCAAACCTTTTGTTTGTTTCTACATTTATTTAGAACCTTGGAAATATCTAATAAGTTTTCTATTTTTTCATTTCATTTCGTTCCCGTTTTTGTGCAAGGATCTAAATCTTTCTTTAACGTTTTCTTTCCCATGTTAGGTTACCTGGAATCGTTTATTAGCACAAAAGACATTTGTGTTTTCACATCTACGGCAGCAGAAGCAGAGAACTTAGGACAAATCCTGAATGCAAACTGTTATTTTGCTCTTGTGGCACACAATTTTCTACCACCTCATGAACTTGATAATATTCAGAGACAATGGAACACTCCTCACACCACTGATACTATGCCAGTTCTAGGTATGCCATAATGTCTTCAAAACTCTCGGTGGAAAGGCCGTTCCACAGAATCTTATGTTTCCCATAAGTTCCCCTTGTGTTAAAGTGAGTTTGACGATTTGGCAAAAGCTGAAAAAAAAGAGAAAAGAAAATGAAAGAAATGACCAAGGAGACCTGCTTTAAAGACTTTGCAGTTCTGAAATTGTGTATTATCTGTATCCCTTTTTTTCCTGAAGTTTTTTCTATCGGAATTACTAGATGTGTTCTTTAATAAAGCATTTTGTAGGTTCAGTTTATTGATGCATCTATGCATATAGTTATATAGTTTAATCTAGATTTTAATTTTCATCTTTGGCGAAAAGATGACCAATGCAATCACAGTTTAATATATAATTTTAATAATAAAATTCAGTTATAGCGGAAGACGTTATTGGTCAGATGAACATCACAAATGCCTCATGTGTGATACACTTCAACTTTCCTGGTTCAAAGACACGATTTAGCAAAAGACTCGCCACTCTAGTTGGGACTTTCACATCATCTGAAGTAAGA